TCAGCCAGAATCCTACTGGTAGATGTTTCAACTGGAGCTGAGAGACTTCATTATTTGATAAATCAGAATGCAACATGGAAAGATTGTTTTGATTTCTATTTAACTCCATCAGCAGAAAAAAAAACACCTCCACTACTAGTGACCTGAGTAAGAATCAGTGACAGGGGTAAAAGGCTAACATTGTAAAAAAAAAAAAAAAAATATATATATATATATATACACACACACACACACACACAGAAGGAGCAGTGAAGTTAGTGAGTACATTCATTTTATATGGAGAGTACTGTTCAGTAACTATAAGAAAATTGTTAAATGTTGAATACTAATGCTTCAACTTTTTAACAACAGGAGTTGGATTGGGACTGGTTCCAAACTTTTCAAGTCACAGGAACTTCTCCATAGTTCATTTATTTGAAGTTATATTTCTTTGTTGAATAAATTGTAGTACAAGTGGGTACAGTAAAGTTCTCAGTCCAAACAAGAAGCCATTCAAAAAAAAAAAAATATCTGAGACTCGGTGATTTGGTCAGATTTTGGGAAGTGAGTTGAGCCAAGAACTTCTCAGCATCACCTTTTAAAACCTGAATTTATTTGAGTTTAATTCAGCAAATAACATGGCAATACATATAGCAGCATCCTACGTAACATTTAAGTAAGAAATAAAGTCCCTCAATTTCACACACAGTATATGATGCATTTGGTGGAGGATGAGCGTAGTCAACAAAAGCAAAAAAAAAAAATTGCTTTTTTTTCACTGCAAGTTATTCATTATACCACATTGAAGTATTTTACAAAAAAATTAAGAGCTGATTACACAATATTTCTTGTTCAATTTAGGTTTATAATTCATAGAGAATAACAGTGGGGGGATGAGATGAATGAAAGAATAGATACCAGAGAGTACAGTGATTAAAATGTGAATATAACTACAAAAATAAACATGAAGGTCCAATTAGCAAAGCATGTAACTGTTCAATTTTTTTCATGGTTTCCAGTGAAAAAAAATAGTAAACATTGGTAATATAAGAATGGGTGATGAGGAAAATAGTTTTAAGAATATCACACTAAAAGAATTTTGAAAAATTAAAAGGGTAATAATTCAGAAAAATGGATTGTCCAGTAATAAAATATTTTGAAAAGCTAGTAGAGAAACACAGAAAATGTGCCGAATATTAAGGACATTAATGAAAAGATATGAAAGCAACCAAACTTAAGAGAAACAACTAAGTTGGGTGCAGAAATAAGTGAAAACTGATTTCTCAACAATAATTCTTAGTGATTAATGTGGTGCTACATAGAATTGGCCTGATGGCTGAGCTAGAGTTTAGGTCATTTGTAAAAATAGTCAGCAACACAACTGAGAAGACAGCAGTAGGGAAGCAGATTAATGTTTTGGGCAAGTATTGTTAGCAGTAAGATTATAGACTCCTTTCAAGTAGATATTAAGATAAATGCAGAGAATTCTTCTTTTTGAGTTTTCCTACCTTGCCAAAAAAGCTTTCAAAGACACAAAATTTTCCCTACAGACTCTACAGAAATAAATCTAACTGAAAACATTTGGTTCTTTATTAAAAGATATGTACATGGATGTGCCAAAAGTCATAGAATATCAGTATATAAAAGTAATGGTAAATGGCACCACCATACCTTGACATCATGGAAATGCTCAGGTCTTTTGCTCTTTTATCTGGTGTCTCCTGTGAACACCAGTTAGGCTGTTCATAACAAAGTGACATGAATTATTTGAGTTCAAATAGGGCATTATAGTGTGTTCCAGATGCATGGGACATTTTATTTCTGAAACTGTGGGGACATTTGAAACCCCTCTATCTCAAGCATCATGTATGTACTGGGAATACCTGATGGAAGGCCTTACTTTCCATATCACAGTAGTTGACTACAGGTCCTTAATGATCATGACCAGATATATCTGGCTAGAATTATCTGAAGTAACAGACAAACGACACTGGTTCATAGCCAGCAATTCAGTTTTGTTATATAGGATATGGGAGCAAAAGACTTACCAAGGTGCCTCTATTAACACAATGACACCAGATACTGTCTCACTTGGGTTTGTGACATCACTGATAGGACCCTGGGGAATTAGCAACATATGGCATGATTCAATTGTTTTGAGCTGATGGTAGACCTCAGATGTGAGGCTGTCACCCAAGGCTATGAACCCCAATTCTCAACAAGGCACTGTGCAGGATAGTAGTGATTCCATAATGGTGTTGGATGTTTTAATGTAGTGTGGATTTGGTCCACTGGTCCAGCTAAACATGTCATTGACTGGTGACCACAACATTGTACTACTTTATAACATTTTGTACCCATTCATGGACTACTTGTACCCCAACAGTCAGATTATTCCAGCAGGAATCCTTATCAGTCCCAGGTTTCCCAGAATTGATTGAAGAGCATTATGGAAACTTCTGACAAATGGTGTGGCCACCAAGTTCACCCAACATGAGCCCAGTTGAGCATTTATAGGATGTGCCGATAGACCTATTTGCATGCAAGATCTTGCATATACAAATATCAAGGAGCTGTGGATAACTATTGAGACAACATGACTAAACATCTTGCCAGAGGTCTTCTGACTGCTTTGTGGAATCAGTCAATTTGCTACACTTAGCCAGGCTAGAGGTAGTCCTACACAATACAAGGCACCAATGCCATGACTTTTGGCATGTTTGTACAAGCAGGAATGGGAAACAATATTCAAGCAAAGAAAATCTCTTGGAAGCAATAAAAACTGCTGAAAATAATGTTAAAATCAACAGAAGCCCATATAAAATAGAAAAAAATATAGAAGAGAATGTTCATGAAGTGTTTCTGTAGCCGATATCTTTTGGATTCATTTATAAATAAAAATTGGCAAACGGACAAATGTGCCCATAATTAGATGTAGTGTGAAAAGGATAGTTTTTCCTGTGACAACACTTTTTTTAATTACTTTTTAAGACTACATCTTATTAAACTACCTTTGAACAACCTGCCATCTGATATTAAAACTCACTCGCCTCGGAGCCAGGACCAAAGTACGTGAAGCCCTTGTCGGAGACATGCTTTTTGCTGACAATGTGGTGGTAGCAACTCACACCCAGTGCAGACTTCAGTCACTGAACTGTTTTCTCCCAGATCTGCAGAGACTTTGGGCTGACCATCAGACAAATGTACTGGGACAAGGTACCAAAACACCACCAGCCATCACCATTGATGACTATGAGCTTGGTGCAGTCCATCAGTTCACATACCTTGGCTTCACCATCACTGACTACCTCTCCTTAGGCACAGATATTGACAAGAGAATTGGGAAGGTAGCCACAACATTTGCGCACCTCACAAAATGTGTGTCTACCAATCCCAAGCTGTCAGTAAAGACCAAGATGGCAATGTACAACACTTGTTATCAGCACACTGCTATATGGCAGCGAGGCTTGGACCACATACACAAGACAAGAAAGGCGCCTGAACACCTTTCACATGAGAAGCATCCGCCGCATCCTAGGAATAGCGTGGCAAGATGAGGTGCCCAACACTGAAGTCTTGTCTCAAGCAAGCTTGCCCAGCATGTTCACACTGCTCAGACAGTTGGGCCATGTCCATCGCATGCCAGATGGCTGCATCCCCAAAGACCTCTTGTATGGAGAACTGACCACTGGAAGGAGAACCGCTGGGCAGCCACAGCTGCAGTATCACAATGTAGTGAGACGTGACATGAAAGCTGTGGACATCAACACAATCCTGGGAGAGCCTGGCAGCCATACAATCCAAATGGAGAGGAACCCTGACCAAACACCTAATGTCAGGGGAGGAGACGCTGACACAAGATACTATGGAAAGGTGGACCCACAGAAAGCAACGTGACAACTCCAACAGACCAGAGACAGAAGACACATGCAACTTCTGCAACAGAGATTGTCACTCTCGCATCGGTGTCTACAGTCACAGACGTCGATGATCCAGCCAAGCAGACAACTTGGATGCTACCCATGGTCAACCCTGACCGACGGAGGCCTATACACATTTTTGAGACTACATCTTATTGCAGGAATATTTGTCCATCTTTGCCTAAAAATTTATGTTGAACTTTGCTTACATAATAAAACCTGATAAGTTGTCAATATTTTTTTTTAAGGATCAATATAACCTGAAACTCTTACAATATCTAGCTCATATCCTGGTTCATTAATAACAATTTTATTGTGAAAATAAGTTCCAATTCCTATTGATTATATTCACTTACATGCAAACACTCTTGGGAAAGGTATGAACCTAACACTTCTCCCCCAGCTGTGGGTTAATTAGTAAGACTTGTATGACTAAACCATTATCTCAAAAGAAAATTTCTTACAATCTAAAAATATTTTCTGGATTTAAATAACCCGCATAGGGTTAAGCCGTAGCAAATGAATTAATAAAAAACATTTCCTCCTCTTTTAGTTCTGTCTGTAATGATAATGCTTTGCCAAATTGCAACACAAATGGTTTAATTTTGTATTTGCAAAGACTTCTTAATACAAAAACAAACTGTGACTGATTTCTATCTTTTTGTATATGGCAAATACAGCAATGAAAGGGCTTATTCACAAGGAAAATTATTTAAACAAGAAATTCCAGGGGCAGCCAATCAAAGAGATTGCATGTGTTTGTGATTTAGGCTGCAATATTAAGCTTTTTATAACAAGGGTTTGTTCATAGAGAAAATGTAAAACAAGGCAAGGATTATTTTGAAAATTGAAGAATGGTAGAGATAAGTTTTAAAATAAATTTTGATGCATTAAAATTAAACATTTTAAACAGAATATCAAAGCAATGACTTTAAATCCTAAATTATGAAGAGGTGCAGAAAAATTCTATGTTGCAAAAATAGCAATTCTTTTTAAAGTAGGTTTAACAAATATATTTTTAATTCTAAAATTTATATGTAATTTTTTATGCTGATTTTCTTTTTCTTTCTTTTTTTTTTTTTTTTTTTTCCCCCTCACAAGGCAATTTGGAATATTTACAAAATTCTTTTCAAGACACAGAAATGGATGTCACAAAAGTCTCTCTGGCATTCTATTCTGGACTTTTTGCTTATAATGGCTGGTAAGTAATAGCAATATTGTAAATAATTTTTATACCACAAAGGTTAATTTCAATCTGTGTATTTGGAATATTATAAACCAAATGGGTAATTTCTTTTGTTTTTTTTTTTTTTTTTTTCTTTATTGCCAAGATTTGTTTTATTTATAAAGTGCACACGATTCATTTACTATTTAAAAAAAAAAAAATGTGATGTGAAATAATGGCTAAAGGTGGACATGTCCATCAAAATTTGACTTAAATTACACTGGCCCAAATACCTGAAATAAAATAACTGAGCACAAGGTTGCTAGATGAGGCTATTTTTGAAAGCCCCAGTGCTATTAAATTTTGCAATGTGGTTGGTGGGAGGCAGGGAGGAACTTTTCAAATAAGATGGGCTACTAATGAATAAGTCAATTTTGAATTTTGTAACGCTAAGCTAATTTTGTAGCTTTCAAATATAACTCCTTTGCTATAGCTCAATCTGGCAAACCTGTCTGGGTATTCTTGTCAAAAGTGTATGGAACTCTATTAGAAATCTACAGGAATAAAATGTTATTAACTAAATTATATTTGACCATTATATAACTGTTATTTGACCACAACAGAACAATTATTTCCCATTTTCATTTTCCTTTCTGTGTTGATGACCATTATGCTACCTACATGTCCACTAAGTTTATTTATATCGGGGAAATTTTTTTATTTTTTATTTTTTTTCAAAATTATTTGCTTAAGTTTCTTGCCTTTAAATAGTGCGCTAAATTTTATTTCATTACCTCAAATGTTAATTACTTTAAAAAGCTTGTCTTCATGAATCTTGATATTAGTTATAAGAAAGTCAAAGTAGCATTAGAATAACTGCATTGGCAAAAAAAAAAAAAAATATTAGATTATGAAATGCATTCATGTAGTGTTTTAAAATTGCCAGTCCCTATATAATAGCCAAAACACAAAACCAATGACTATTTATTACTATCTGGTAGAGGAAATAAATACATGTTTACTGTAGATTAATTTTGTACATAAGTACATTGATAAGTCCTTCACCTACTAATGAAAAACAAAATTTATTTTACACAAAACTATTTTTCAACATAATCTTTGTCAATTCACTAAATTCAGTAATATAAATAAAACACTATACATTGAAAATTCCAGATCAAATTTCAATTAATAACTATCAAACTACATATATTGATCTACCCTTGGAACAAATAATGTTGTTGGGAATTTTAAACAAAAATCAAATTTTCTATCTTTTGAAGATTGGTTGTTAAATGAGGGACAAAACTACTTATAAGATTGTATTGTATATTACATATTTTTGGAATCACTATCTTATAACATTTAAACAGACATAAATCTCTAGAATTTCTTATGTGAATCAGTAATCTTTTTGTTAGTATTTCTTTTATTATTATGAGCATGTGGCCAAGTGATTAGAACATTTGCTTTCTGACCATGAGACCCAGGTTTGAATCACACCATGGTTGATTTGTCAGGAAGGTGACTTCCTGATGCTATCGGTCTGGAGGAGGCAATCCCAGCATGCAACACTTTTGGAAAGTGCCTAAAAACCATACCATGGTTTGATCCAAGTGAAATTGGGTAGATGGAACTCTTGGGGACCATCAACGGCTGTGCTAGCACAGTCGCAAGTCATGGTGACTGAGAGTTTGAGCGTGCTGGCCTTGTTCAGATTGTTGATCATGCTAGATAACACACTTTCTCCCAGAAACTGTAACTAAGATCTGCTCAGGTGGACTCTTTGGGTGTTGAGCAAACACAAATGTGCCTGAGCAAGTATCTGCAATAGGGATTAGCTAGCCACCCTAGTAGATGGTTATCCTTGAATACAAGTGGCTATTATTATTATTATTACTACTACTACTACTACTACTCTATTCCTGTAAGGCTGTCTCTAAAGGTTAAGGTATACAAGTTCAAAACTTGCTCGAGGATTATTCTTTTTATGATCCCTGATGCTGACTTAATCTGATAGTTGTAATTTAAAAGGAATCTATTAACAATTGCCCAAGATAAATGATTTTTCACTAGACTAGGCCTCATCAGAGCCTACTATCAGATCCCAGTAGAGATGCATGATATTCCAAAGACTATTATAACTACTCTAGTTGGTTTGTTTGAGTTATTGCTTGTCCCTTTCAAACTAAAGAATGCAGTGCAGTACTTCCAGAAATTCATTGATCATGTGTTGCACAATTTCATTTTGATTGTATCTAAGTGAATGATGTCCTTATTACAATCTTTTCCATCAAAGAATTAGTTCAGCTGGTATTTTCCCTTCTACAAAGATGATAGCTATTTCTAATTTTCTATACCTAACACCATGAGAAAATTGTACAAATTCTTAAGGATGATTAATTTCTGCCTCAAATCTCTCTCAAATTGTTTAGTTATTATGCATGCTAACAAAATTGCAACATAGATTTGTCTGACCCTGCTCTAACAGCTTTTCATAAAATTAAATTTATTTTGTTTCATACAGTGAAATTATCACGTATTGAGTCAGGAAAAGTGTTGTGTATGATGGTTGATGCATCTTTCATTGGCATGGATGTTTTATAGCAAAAGATTGATGACCAGTAGAAGCCAATTTCTTTCTTTCCTAGGAAATTGTTACTTATGGAAGCCAGATCTATACCTTGGGACAAGAACTCTGAGCAGCATATTCAGTAGTAAATTTTCACCAGTTAATGAAGGATGCACTTTCCAAATTGATAGTGACCTGCTTTTATTGAAAGAGTGAGCAACATTCCTGCAGATATTATATCTCAGGGTATCAATGCTCTTCTTTTGCACCTTTGTACAGTGCCAATCACTTGTCAATGAACAGGTAAGGGAACAGCAATTACAATAGTTTCTTTGTCATTGAAACTGCACAAAATTGCTGTTCTTAACACCAATCTAGAAACACTGTGTGATCTCAGCATTGGTCAGTTATATTCCTTGAATCCCGAGTCCTTGTGACATAACATTTTCTTCATACTTCATAACTTGTCTCGTTCTGGTGCTAACACTTCAAATCAAGATAGTCACAAGCAGATTTATTTGGTTACGCATGACGTTAGATATTCAGCTTTGATCAAAGACATTATGGGACCTACCTATACAAGTATTTGCTAACATATATTGATTGTTTTGTTTTTTTATTTTTTTTGTTTTGTTTTTTTCTCTTAGTGCAAAGTATTCCTCATGCCAGACATTTATACATATACTATGGTAAAACCTATATTTTAGGAGGGGTATGTCATTTTGGCATCTCAAGTGTCATTACAAGACAGATATTGGAAATTTGAATCCGATTTATTCTCATTTCTCTTGGGTAGTAAAAGAATCTGCATCACTGCTTATCTTAAAGCAAATCGCACCATGGAAGAGTTCCATTGCAGTTTGAAGAGATCTTCCCTTAGTCCTTCTGAGACATCACACAACAGTAAAGGAAGACATTCAATGCTCATCTACCAAGATAATGCATAGTACCATGCTCAGATTTCCTGAACAATTTTTCTTCAAGATTTCACTTCCTTCATTAATCTGAAAGACAGGATGGTGATGTTGGCATACAACTAACCTGTGCAGAGTCCAATATATATATATATATATATATATATATATAGCTTTTTGACTCTATAACATATCTTTGCATGTGATTCACACAACCTGCAACTGCTTTACAGAGGATCTTTCAAGATCCTCAAAAGCATCCAAAGTACTTTACTTTAAAAAAGCAGACCAGAATATCTCTTTAAATGGGCTGAGGCCTCACTTTTTGGATGGTCATATGAATGCTCCAATGACTTTTTTTTTTTCTATTTCATGTCAGATGTGCTAAAACAAATTGTGATATGATCTGGTTGACATATTAGATGGCCCAAACATCTATTGTGTTACTGTTTTTTCTATTTCTTTTAAAGGTATCTCTTATATTATTACTGCTTGACTAGTGAATGTTCTATATGACAGATTATCAATAAAATGTACTAATTACCAATAAAATGTACTAATTACTCGTGCATAAATTTTACAAAATGTAAATTTAAATTGATAAAATATGAATCAAGATGAGGTTCAAGCCTGTAATTTTAAAAAGAATAATTGATATTGAATAGAGAAAACCAATTAAATAAGGCATTTTTTATTGTCACTGAATTTATATTTGAAATAGTTTATATTTCATATCCTAAGAGTTTGTCTATAAAGGGAATAAAACTTGAAGTTAAAAAAGTTCAAAATTATTAAGATTGATTTAAACATTAGGAAAGAAATTGAACAGGTTTTCTATCTTTGAAGAAATATTAAAGGCACTATTTTGCATTTTTGATGATGAATTTTTATTTATGCAATCTGTTCTTTTGAAAGAATTCTAAGATCAGAGGACAGCCAAAGTTAAATCCACAAACATGTATAATTGTGTATTTGTAGAATAGATTATATGGAAAAAAAAAATAATTTCCTGTGAATGCTGAAATTGATATGTTTGCTGAAATTCATTAACTTGATACAGTTTAAAAGTTCATAAAAACAAATATTGAAATGCTATTTTACATATGAAATGCTGAGATTTCAGCAATATTACCTTTTCTTCTGAATGCACTTCAGTGTTGAATTAATATTAATTAAATGGATTTTAATCTTAAATTTTCAGTGAATAATATTTGAATTAAGTGCATTGATAAGAAAGGAGATAATGTTGATAAACAAATATTTTCTGTGTAAAATTTTATGCATGTTTGCTTTATCATGACGAAACAATGACATTGATGCATAAGATAATTTAAAAAAAAAATTTAATTGTAAAATATTCCTTTATATTTAAATTGTCAAATTCACTTCTTATATGAAATATGGTATTTTATTCTTTTTAAGGAATTACTTGAATTTTGTGATTGAAGAATTAAAGGATCCAGTAAAGTAAGTTATTTTTAACATTTTCTCCAAGCATTTTGAATTTAACTTGCTAGCTTAAAAGCCACCCTATAATTAATTAAAAAAGAAAACACAGCTGGTGGATGATCATAAAACAGTGCACTGAACTTGGTGTCCTATATTCAGTCTTTGACTGACTGTTAAACTTGCCACTGGTAAAGAAGGCCCTTACTGAATCGGTCAATATTCACACCCTAGTGATCTTTACTTGCCTCATGCATGAAGCCGAGTCATATTTGTCTCCATTGTTCATTTAGTCAGTATGGAGAATAATTCCATCCTGTGTTTATGACCTGAGAAAACACAAAACACTTTTGATATACCCTAATAAAAAACATTGTTTTTGGTTTTATGTGTTTTTTTTTGGTTTTGTTGTGTGTTTTTTGGTTTTTTTTTTTTTTTTTTTTTTTTGGTTTTGTTGTGTTTTAGTGTTTTTCATATATTTGTATGCAAGCACGCATGCCTGTGTTGGTTTCATTTAAAGAAAGAAAAAATGAAGAAAATTTATACTTATTTCCTGGTGTAGTGATTTTTGAGAGATACATGAAATATCTGCCAGAACGTGGAAAATAGTAGTGTTTCTTTATTCATTATTTTTTTTTTTTTTTTTTTTTTAACATACTGATCAATCTGTTAAAATTCCTTGAACCATTTTTTATGTATATTACTTTTTCATGAGGGAGGCTCCTCTACCCCGGAATTAAGCTATGAACAGTTAAAATGGATAGCTTTCAATTTTTAAGTGTCATCTGTCTTATTTTTCATAGGTTCTGTAGACAAAACTCAGTAACCTGTACCAACAGGCGGATGTAGTAATTATATTTAAAATCCATAAGACAATCGATATCACTTTTGAATTTACTTGATTAAAGAGATTCAAAATTAACAAAATTTTCTTACTGTCAATTTTTAAAGTGTGAAATTTGTAATTGTCTTAATTATACAAAAGATTTTTAAATATTGACTATATAACTATTTTCAAATGTCACAGAAAAACTAAAATTAAAAAATAATCTAATAAAGAATACTCATTAAAAATCTTATATCATTTATTTCAGAATTCAAAAAAAGTAAAAAGATTTCTCGGTTCAGTCTGCAACTAAGACTCTCCCTCCTCAGAATAGGACCACAGCCACACCACACTGTTGCTACTGTGGTTTATGTAGCAAGTGGACTTTTATGAGATGGAATTGCCATCTCTATGCCCTATCACTCTTATTCAGATTTGTCCTTTCCCTATCCTAGACTGGTTGCCAACTAAGGCTAGAAAGCTCAGTCTAGTCTGCTATTTAATCCATAAGCTATTTGTGCAAAATTGAACACTATGAATTCTTCTGGAATTTGAGCTCCGCATGCCAATTCCATTTTCCATACCAATAACCAGTTACATGTACATCCTTAAGAAGACTAAAACTCAAAGTGATTTAATCAGAAACCAAATTTGAAATAATCATTTTCATTCAAATATTATTTTTAAATCACTTTACAGACTTATTCAGAAACCTAATCAGATATTTTTTAAAACTATGAATTGACTCTGTTGACATTACTGATAATCTTCCATGCTTCATCATAAGACAATTGGTGGATTAATAGATTAACTAGGTAGGTAATTGACTTATACATCTATCTTTAATATATTTATATGACTAAAATAGTAGGTTAAAGGAAAGACCAACATTGCTCTCTCATGACCTACTCTCTGACAAACAATATAGCTTCTGTTTTGCCATGTCTATTGTTGTTATGCTAACAACCATCACTGAATATGTATATCAAGCTCTTGATAATAATGGCAAAGCTCAAGCTGTGACTCTAGATATTTAGGTGTTTGACAGGGTTTGGCATGTTGGTCTTCTATGTAAGCTCCAGGGCTACGGTATTACTGGACATTTGTTTGATTTAATCCAATCGTTCCTATCAAATCGTGAAATGAAGGTCATTTTGAATGGGCTCACTTCCAGATCCTTTCATACCAAAACTTTATCCTGGGTCCTATGCTGTTTCTGATCTTCACCAATTATCTCTGTGATGTCCTCAGTTTCCAAGTAGGCATTTATACTGATAACACTATCATTTTGTTGTGAAAGAGATAATCAGCTACCTCAAAAGAGTTTGTGTTGTGTGCAATCTGCCGAAGAAAAATTACCAAAATGTAGTGAGCAAAAAAAAATTACTTTAAAGACTAGAATCTATGCTAATGTTCTTCCCTCCCCTGAATGGTGTGACCAATCAGAAAGATCTCTCAGTGAACAAAAGCTGTTGTTCTTCATTTATAAAGGCAGATTTTCTGAGCTAGAGAGATGAACACGCGTTTTTGCTGGTGAGAAGTGAAGGTTGGACGTGAGACCCCATTTTGTCGTTTCTACCCTGCTTGTTGGACTGTTACGATAGGTTATCATTTGAACTGATTTGGCTACAAGTGTTGTAGTCGAGAGACAGAAGAAATCTATTGCAGACGTTTGTTGCTACTATAAATTGACATTTTCACCCACACATTTACTCCTGTCTCAATAGCAAATCCATCAGAGTTGACAAAGCTAACCTGGCCACTGTTCTTGAAAAGGACCTCCAATCAATGGTTAACTTGGGCAGGAAATGTCTTGTAAATTTGAATGCCTCCAAAACTAAACTGCTCTCATATAACCACCATAGAGAAACTTTCCTGCCTGTCATTATCATGACTGATGCTAGACTCATGGAGAGCAACACACTGCGCATTCTTGGCCTCACATTTTCAACTAACTTGAAATGAAATGACTACATCAAATCGGTAGCTGCATCTAAGGTTTTTCTTGTCAGTCCAAATCTACCATTCATCTGTGCATTGAATATTGTTGCCATATCTGGTCTGGTACTCCTGCTACTCATTTCAAGGTTCTTGACAAAATCTAAAGAAGGATCTGCAATGTAATCGATTCTGACTTTGCATCTCACATTCAGTCACTTTCTCACTGACGTGACATGGCTTCCCTCTGTCTTTTCTACAAATATTTTCATGGCTGTTGTTCTGACAAGCTTTTTTTCCCTGGTGCCCAGACTACATGAGTTTAAGTGTGCCACTAGATTTTATTGTTGAATTAGGCAAATATAAGCACCACTTCTACTCCAGCAGTTTCTTTTCTTGCACTTCCCACCTGTGGAACTCCCTTCCATTTCCTTGCTTCCCTGATGATTGCATTTAAATTTTTGAAGATTGTAATGTCAATCATCATCTTCTTAAACTCTGTTCAGCTTTTATCTTTTTCTCTGTCAACTCATACCCAGTTTTTTCTCTTCACCTTCACTCTCTGTAACCCCTTGCATATTAGTGGCATTCCCACCTTGCTTGGAGTGAAATGATTAAAAAAAAATTATTTTAATCTGTCATTCCTTGACAGATATCAGTTTTAGATTCAATATGAGAGAAGCTTTTTATCTTACTCAGGATTTATTAATAATTAGTGTCTGATAATAGAAGTGATAAAAATGTATTGGGTAGTAAAGTCCTATTCATGTGTATTTAGGGTTAATTAGTTAATTTTGCAATGGTATTGAGTAATAGTGTTGGTTAGTAATGAGTATAAAAGTATCGGTGATGTAAATTTTGGCTAGCAGGTTGTATGACAATTGAAATATAACATGAAAGCAATGAAATTTTTTAAACCCTCAAACAACATATCTGCAGAATAAACTCTGAAAGGAAAATTATTTGTGCAAGACTGCATTGCAATCAACAAATGACACAAACTGTAAGAAGCCTGTTATTGCACACTGGTTCTATCAGAATCTGGTTGATTTCAAAATTCAAAGAAGTATTGAAAGATCAACTTTTTTTTTTTTTTTTTTTTTTTTAACCTAATGAAGAGAACATTCAGATAGATATAGCACTAAATGGTGACTGAGGTAAAATAAATTTTTAATTTTGAAGAGAAATTTACTTGGATTTTATACCAGTTTCATTATTCTATCTGGACTAAAACTTGTTTTCTAGGACTAGAGACCTTATCCCTCAACTCCTGCAGTTATTTGTTGTCTATAATATTACTTTTAATTGTGAAAGGATTTTTTTTTTTTTTTCATTTTTATTATTTCATCTTACAGAAATTTACCCAAAGCCATATGGATTTCTATCATCATGGTGACAATCATTTATGTGTTTGCAAATGTGGCTTATTTTTCTACTGTTAGTCCTGTTGAAATTAAATCTGGAGCAGCAGTAGCAGTTGTAAGTATTAATTTTTTATATAATCCTTTTTATGCTTGATCCATGGCATTCTTTACTTCAAAGCTATAGTGCAACTTCTGGCTAGAATTGATGACCTAACTGTAGTAAAATTAGGTCCAAACAATAGGAAGGGAACGGGTTGGCCCGGCACCGCCTACTTCCGGAAACACTCCTCAGCTTCACGACAGCTACAATCCAGCTACAAAAAACTCCACAGATCTTTGCACTCAAATGTTCCAACACCGCCTCGTAGTTCGCTACACAACTCTCTCGAGTGGTCTCCCGCCGTCACATTTATCCCAGCTTAACACCAACCAATTTGCATACGCCCAAGTTCTCCTCTCGCCAATCCTCGCGGCTACGAGATCGCGTTTCCATAAGTCCGACTCACCGTAATGGTGGTGTTTCTTTCTTTGGACCAATTACTGCCCTACACGCCAGACACAAACAAACCCTCTTATGCCGAGAACTGAGGTTAGTCTCATTTTCATGTCCACACTCCCCCCTGTCTCAAGATCACACATGTGGCATTGCGGACGTGGTCGTTTGTTGCGGCACTCCTATGAAGGGGGATTGTCTGGACTTCTTCATCGGGCTCTCAGAAGGGGCGTCAGAACTATCAGCATCAGCATCAGGGTCCGCAGTCAAACCATCAGGCCCGAGGGGCATAGGTCGGATCCACAGTTCATCGTTGGATGATTCACCACTGCTGCTACTAGTCAACTGGTTCAGATTTAGGGCGGGCGGACATCCTTCACATGGTGTGGAGTACCATCGACCAGCACTGCTTGCTCATTGACGATGCCGGTGATTCGTTTTCTTTGAAAGCTGGTGGTGCACCGGCTATTGGGAGGCTTCACCCAGACGCTGTCCCCTAACTTATACGGCCCCTCGTGTTCCCCGCCCGATCAGGCAGACACGCGTCAATGCCCTTGTTGCGCACTTGGTAGCGATGGATTGCATTGGCGGTGCGCTTTGCAGCAGCCACGGCATACTTTTGGTGTTGCATTATATCTATAGACCGCCTCCGTTATCGCACACTGCTTCCTGGCGCGATCCTCTTCACGCTTTCGTGGCACCGCTCTGCTATGCCGCTGCCACCGGCACATATGCACATCGGTGTCTGAGCCGGATCCCCACTGCTCACGAAACGCCTAAACTCCCCCGCTGCAGAAGGCCGTGTCGTTATCCGTAAGGATCTCTTCAGGCGCCCCTTTCGTAAAATATGGACTCCAATTCACGGATGACACTGGACGAGTCCTGTCTTACTAATGGGCGCCAGATCGCGAACCTCGTCGGTCCGCAATCTATCAGTGTGAGGAAATGCTGGCTGCCGTAATGGGTTATGTCCATACCCAGTCGGCCCCAAGTCGTGTCTACCCCCAGCTGACCCTTCCGCCATCTAACTAGGGCGGGGTCGATTGACTGGCATGTTTGGCATTCCTTCACCACCGCTCTCACTTCACTTTTGGACACTGACGGATTGGTCAACTGTACAAAATAGCATGTCCGTCTCACTCCGGGGTGCCCACTGTTGTGGTGTATCTCCTTGATTTTGTCCGCCGCCTCAACAGAGGCAGCACATAGTAACGGTACTGGCTCAGCTTCTTTCTTCATGGCGCCATACCATCTCTGTGGCACACGAGTGAGCCTATCAGCAAGGTTGCAGTTTGAGGTGACAAGCACCGCATCCATAGATAGGTTGTACTCTGTTACCAGCTTTCTTATGGTCTCCAACCTCCGTCCTGATCAGCATCTCGCTAGTCGCCTTGGTACGCACCCTGGCCTTGCCTGTCAGTGTGTCTAATATCCAGTGGTACACACATATAGCGAATCAGTGTGTATGTGTAATTTCCTGACTTTCCACTGGAGTGCCAGGTTGATGCCTTTTATCACTGCATCGAGCTCTGCCAGGTTGATATGAGCAGCGCCATTCACCGGTCGCAACCAGCAGGCGCCCTCAATCGCAGCCCCATTCTTCTCCAACAGCACACCAATCGCCAGAGAGCTCGCATCCACCCACACGCTCAGTTCGCCTCCCTGCACGCACCAGTCTCCTTTGACGGGGTCATCCTGCTTTACCCTTGCGATGGTCTCCTTCACCATGCGAACCAACAGATCGTCCGTTGTTTCATCGTCCCAGCCTTTGGTGACTGCGCTTGCCCTTCTTTTTATGGTGCCTGTTGCCACACGAGTCCATCCACACACTGGTAGATGCCCCACAAGTCTTCCACACAGGGAGAATATAGCTCGCCTCGTGAAGACATCGGGTACTTCAGGAACTGCAGTTCCACGCCCCCCATTTTAAGGTCTCTCGCCCTGTTGAACGTTCAGGCCCAAGACACGGGCCCATCCTCCAAACGTTCTGGGTCCTTACAAGTCAGACCAAACTCAGCCAGTTTGGACCTCACGCGTGATGACGACACAACGCCTTCGCTCACATATATATCATCAAGGTACGCCGATGTCCCCTCTTTTATTGTTTCTTCCTGTGACAACACAGCGTTGACGATGGTCTTCATTATTTGGGGTGCCACGTTCAGCCCGAAGCCCAGCCTAGTAAGGCAGTACCTCCTGCCGGCAAACACCACCGCCTGAAACGGCCACATCGTCTCGCTGACCCGGACCTGCAGGTATGCTTTTCTTAGATCCAGCAGGGACACATTGGAACCCTGCTGGCGCCATTCTCGTAGCTTGCTGGCACAAACGCCAGCATCTGCCGTGAACGCATCAACATGCGCGTTTAGTTCGCGGTAGTCCATCACTGGCCTCACCTTTGCTTTGTTGTGCTGAGCAACCGCCATCAGCGGGATCAGGCCTTTGGGAGGTCCAAGTTTCTCATAGGGTAAGGAATCAACCAGCCATCCTTGATCCATTCACGGAGCTCCCCTTCATATGCAGGCCTTATTTGATTGGGCACATGGTACTTTTCGGCTACCTCTTTCCGCAGTTTGGCTGGTTCCTGGTTTTCCGACCACCTCCATGAGGTGGTCCAAGTCTTCTGCTGCTGGTCAAATTCGACACTAAAGTCCAGCTGGTTGATCCTCAGAGCTGCGCACACTGGGGCCCTCTCCTGAAACTGTACTGCCCCCGCTCTACGTTATGTGAACACCACCTAAAGCTCTGATGGCATCATAGCCTAGAAGCAGGTCAAAACTCAGTGGTTTTTCGAGCACTACTAGCGCCTCGATGTTGGCCGAGTTTCCAGTTCTTGTAACGGATGTTCACCGCGCCCACCCAGTTCGTGTTTCTCCACTGATGGTGGTCACCCTGACACACTTCTTCTTCCAAGTGCGGCAGAGGTCCGCGCAGACACTATGGTGCGGAGCAACCGAATCGAGGAGTGCTGAACACAATGTCTCATTAATATAGACCTGAATGATCGGAAGCGCCTCATCTAATTTCTGCTTGGGGAAGAGGTCGACGCTGGCACCTTGCCCCCGCCCCGTTCCCCATATGCACAATCCCGGACCATATGTCCAGTCTCATTACACCGGTAGCAACGAACAGCTGTCAGTCGCCTCCTGCAGTTCCTTCGCCAATTTGGCCCTGGCCACCGCACCTATAACATATGACCCCACTGGGCAGCCCACCAAACAACACCGTCAACCCGTCAGCTCGCCAGATACACGTCGACAGTTTCGCCTGGAAGTAAAGTTCTTGCCTCAATTGTTCCCATGCAGTGGCGGGGTCGATAGCAAACGCCTTGTATAGTGCTGCCTTGATTCTCTTATAATCCTGTTTTTCCTCAACACTGAGCTGTTGATACACAGCGAAAGCCCCGCCAGACAGCCGCAGAGGAATCACGTGTTCAATGCTCTTTATGCCAGACAAGAGGCAATGCAGTTCTACTTTTTCCACCCAGTCAAGTACCGGGTTGAGCCATCGAACTCCGGAATCAATTTCAGATCGAATCTGTCCCCATTGTGCCGAAATAGCTTGTAGTAAAATTAGGTCCAAACAATAGGAAGGGAACGGGTTGGCCCGCCCCGCCCCTACTTCGAAACACACCTCAGCTTCATGACAGCTACAATCCAGCTACAAAAAACTCCACAGATCTTTGCACACAAATGTTCCAACACCGCCTCGTAGTTCGCTACACACAACTCTCTCGAGTGGTCTCCCGCGTCACATTTATCCCAGCGAACACCAACCAATTTGCATACGCCCAAGTTCTCCTCTCGCCAATCCTCGCCAGCACGAGATCGCTTTCCATAAGTCCGACTCACCGTAATGGTGGTGTTTCTTTCTTTGGACCACCACTGCCCTACACGCCAGACACAAACAAACCCTCTTATGCCGAGAACTGAGGTTAGTCTCATTTTCATGTCCACACTAACTCAAATCTTCTTCCACAGTGAGCAAACCACACCATTGACCTTTATACCTGTAGGCAAAACAAAATCTGAATGGCTAATGTAAATCTCAATGCCATTATAAAAGTAAGATCTACCTCCTGATATGAGTACTCAAAACCTAGCTTCTATGAATTTCAACGCTGCATACCCTCATTGGGTCCTGAGAAGGAGGAGGAGGTTGAGATCGCCACTAGGACTGAATCGCCGTTAATGACTAGAAATGTAGAATGGTTTACGAGTAAATGCCTATGTGGGAAGATATGTAAAAATCCACGAGGCCTCAATATACACCAAGGCTGAATGAAATGCCTGGACAGGAAGAAACCAACACAACGTACAGGTCAAAGTTCTGGTAAAATGCAGGAGGACTGGAGCCAGAAGGCACCCCACAGAGCCTCGGATCTTCAAGCACCTGTTACTCATTCACCAGGTATGGCACCTGGAAGAGGATTAAATGGCCCACCAACTAACAACAAAGGGGAATGACAGGAGTTTGATAATGATATCACAGGGGTTTTGCAAGTAGCTGCAAGAAGAGATTTAGACCAACATTTAAAATTTATGGCAGCGATCTTTGTTGAAATACAACATCAGGAAAAGATTTACAATTTGAACAGGAGAGAGCACAAGATAAGAGAATTGAGGAGAGAAATCAGAACACTCAGGGAAACAATTTAAATTGACCTGTACTGAAGACTTAAGAAATAAATTGAAGAATTTACACAGAACGGAGTGGAAGAAGAAAGGAGGAGGAAACGAGCCAGTTTCAAATCGAATCAGTTTGGCTTTTGCTAGGTCTCTCCTTTTAGTGATATTTTGAGTCATCAGTGGGAGGAGATTAACATTTATCTTCAAAACTCCTTCTGTGACCCGGCAAGGGATCAGCAATTGGGCCCAAATGATCTGTTGATTACCTAGAGGCCTCTGAAATATTAATTTCTTTCCAGGTTGAAGTCCCTGTGGTCAGAGCATCTGGGTCTGTATCATTACCGAGTCCTAGTGGAGTCCCTTACATTGTATACAACTGATGCATTAGGAATACTCCAATTTCTGTGGAAATTGTTAAGATGATCTGAAGGAGAGGCAGAATTGCTGCACAATGGAGGCAAACCAATGGGCTATGGATCCCTAAGGAAGAATTTTCAAAATTTTGTATCATTTCTCTACTTAACAATCAAGGCAAGATCTTTTGAATTTTGGCCAAACGTTTCTCTTAATACTGTGTCAATAATGGCTATATAGACTTATCAGTCTAGAAGGGAGGCATTGTTGGAATGTCAGGCTGCCTGGAACACACGTGAATATTGACACAACTTCTGAGAGAAGTCAGAAAGAACAAGGGTGACTTAATAGTCTTGTGGTTGGACATCACAAACACCTACAGGTCGATTCCACACAAGCTCATAGGTAAAGCTTTAGAACAGCACCACATTCCTAATATCATTGGCAACTTAATCATGGACTATTAGAACAACTTTCAGGTCAGAGTAACAAGAACCACTATGTCTGCATTGCACAGACTTGAAAGAGGTATCATAACCCGCTGTACAATATTGGTAACACTCTTTGCCTTAGCTATGAATATGATTGTCAATGCTGCAGAAAGGGAGTGCCATGGACCTCAGTCAGGGGTCCGGCAGCCATCGGTAAGAGCTTACATGGATGACCTTACAATCACAACGAATACTGTGGCAGGTGGCTCTTGAGGGGGTGTTGAAAGGAACATGAACTGGGCTAGAATGAAATTGAAATTGGTTAAATCAAGGCCTCTAGTGATTGAAAAAGGCTAGGTCACCAACAAATATAGATTTACTGTTGTGGGAATAAATATTCCAATGCTCTCAGAGAAATCAATCAAGAACTTAGGCAAGACATTCAATAGTAGTCTGAAAGATACTGCCTCTATCCGCTAGATTGTTGGCAACCTGGACACAGCTTTATTAAAAATTGATAAATCAGATCTGGCAGGTCAATTTAAAGTGTGGGTATTCAACACTCATTATTACCCAGAGTACTATAGCTCCTTTAACTATATGAAGTCCTGCTCACTTCGTAGACTTTGGAGAGAAAAAAAAACAATGTGTTTGAGAAGATGGCTTGGCTTACCTAAAAGTTTAAGCAGTGCTGCACTGTAAGGTAACACAAATACACTAAAGCTACCACTTTGAAGCCTCGATGAGGAGTTCCTAAGATGTCCACCAATCCAGAGAATCTAAAAACCCAAAAGCAAGAGGATCAGGAATAGACCTGGACAGGGAGACAATGGAACGAAATTAAAGAATTAGCTGTGACAGAAGAGTTGGCACACTGACTCCAGTAGAATGCAGTTCCTAATAAAATCGGCCTACAACATTCGCCCAAGTCCAGCAAATCTAAATATATGGGGAATAAATGAAACGCCCAACTGTGTTCAATGTAGGAGGAGAGGTTCATTGCAGCACATATTAAGCAGCTGTCCCAAGGCTTTAGGGGATGGACGGTATCATTAGAGCCATAGCGAATGCAGTAATGTTAGCCATTAGGTTGTGCAAATTTAAAGTAGGGTGTAAAAAGCCATTAATACATTTTATTAAGGCCAGAGGAAATAAAACAACAACAGAAAAAAAATACCCCAAATATGCTTTCAACAGCATCCAATTGGCAGCTGATCACTGACCTGAAAAACAACTGAAATTCCCAAGTCACATAGTAGGGCAAAGTGTTGCCTGCACTAATATATTTCAACAGCCCAAAGAAATTAATAATTTGGGAATTATCAATTGCATGGGAGGAGAATCACACACTTGCTAATGAAAGAAACCATGAGAAATACCAGGAGCTAGTTGAAAGGTGCCAGCAAAATGGTTGAAAAATCTACTTTGATCCAATAGAAATGGAGTGCAGAGATTTTGTGGGGCACTCATTAAGCAAGGCACTAGCAAAAATTGGAATCATAGGAGCAGCAAAAAAAAAGTCCTGGTGCAACTGAAGAAGGATTCTGGTGGATATGGCTAAAGGAATGACCCATGGATTAAAGTATAAGACCTTACAATGAGTAAAACTTTTTTTTTTTTTTTTTGGTATTTCTATAATCATAAAAAGTATATTATGGAAAATAGGTCAGCATAACAATAGCTACTTTATTTCTAAGTAATAAAATAAAGATCCTTTGTTTTGTGTCATATTTTTGTTTCAGAATTCATAGTTATATGGTCTTGGTTTCATTAAAACTGTTTTAACGTGGGTAATTAAAAAGTTAATATAACATTTTGTACGTCCTTGTTAACAAGGTTGGGAAGTAATGTGTCCAAAACTCTACCAAATTATATAGATTGTAATAAAAGTATAGAAAAGAAAAAAATATACCAAGACAAAGCAGATTAATTTTTTGAGTCAAATTAATTATGCTCTTAATCTCTTTTTCTTTGAATTTCTTAAACTGACTACAGCAATGAACTACTACAAAGTAAAACTAAAAACTCACAGTGAAATGACAAGATTTGAGATAGGCTTCCATTTCTGGCCATGCATTGCACTATGACTTTGCTTGAAGTAAAGAATGCCGTGGCTTGATCTAAGAGCAACTGAAATTTGAACTGAATTGCTTTTAGAAATGGAATAAAGTATGTGAATTTTATTTAGGTGTACATTTAAATAACAATGAATTCTAAAACAATGTAAACTTCAATTTCAGATAGTGAAAAGGTTGCAAAAACAAAATTGGAATTCAGATGTGAAAAGTGTAAATTCGGACTAACTTTAGACTATTCTTATTTAGTATCATATCTGTGAACAACTTTTTGTTTTCTTTACATTTAAGTATTAAAATATGTAAACAGATGAGATAATTGAGTTATTTATGTTGAGTTTTATAAATGGTCTAAATTGCTTTAAAATTTATTAATAAGTATTAATTTATGGGGACACAGTTTTATTGTGAAAATAATTGTATGTATCAAAGCTTAAGTATTTTCTTGATATTCAAATTTACTTTCATTAGAATTTGTTTTCCAGATGTTCTCAAAAAGGCTATATGGAATACTCTGGTGGATAATGCCTATTTTTGTGTCACTCTCAACATTTGGTGGTGTCAATGGTATTCTCTTTACTTCATCAAGGTAAGTTAATCTCTCTTGTCCTACAGAAGATTGATACAAGCACTGGATAATTAATGTTTTTAGTTTGCATTCTAACAATTAGAATTTGGAAATTAAACCATGAAGTAAACTTTAATGTGCCAACCTTCTTTAGCTTCAGAATTTTTAGAACTTTGAAAACATTTTAAATATTCAAAAAAATCTGATAAATTACCCCACATAATTTACATTTCATCTGATTATAGTATTTATAAATATAGTAGATGAATGTTTCAATTTAACACAATATTCCTGATTAGAAATTATGAGGAGATTAAAAGAACTAACTACTAGGTAACTTGGTAGTTTTGCAAAATTTTTTTTCATTTCTACAGTAAACAAAAGAAAATCAATTTCTTGTTCTAGGTTATTCTTTGTTGGTGGCAGAGAAGGTCACATGCCCCAAATCATGAGTTATGTTTCTCTCAACAACTACACTCCCATGCCTGCTGTTTTGTTCATGGTAAGTAAATGTCGTTATTGTTAAATCTATAAGTAAACATTCTTATTGATAAATTAAAGGACATTTCCCTGAAGATCTGCTATATTACTGATCACTGTTAATCTTAAATCTATCATTTAAAACATTCAGTGGTCTTTGTTAAATGTTAGGCCATCATTATTACCAATTTCTTGCAATATATTTCTTTAAATGTTGACATTCTTATATTAATGAATTCAAAGGTTTGGTGTTGTCTTTAAAAGACAATGAGTGAACACTCTTTCATATTGAGTACTAACAGTAGAGCCCGGCATTGCCCGGGGATATAACAGTAAGAGATAGATCAAGTATCCACCATCATAAAGACTGAAAAATAAAATTGACAAAAGATTATTGTTTAAGGTTGATGGACACGCATGTCTTAATTAGTTTTTTTTTTTTTTTTTTTTAAATTGGTCAAACTCAAACAAAAAACATTGTTTTCAATCGTTATGAGTCTACTGATTGAATAGAATTTTATTATAAATAATTGTCTTGTAAATGGAATTTTTAAAGCATTCTGAATGTTAAAAATAAAGAAAAAAGTGTGCAAGAGAATAAGAAACACTACCTGCCAAAAAAAAAAAAAAAAAGTGAAATTTTGTTTTATCAGCTGAAAAATATAGGAAATCCGCTCCCATATTTAAAGTAACCCACACACAAACAAACCGATGTGAGTTGCCCCCCTTCCATTTTCACGATGTCTCTTAATCGTGTTTTCAAATTGATTTTGTGCAAAAACAATTATATTTTTCCCATTTTTGGCACTGTTAGAACCACCACAAGGTAATTTTATGTAGTCCTGTGAAGTTTTGAAATCGGTTGAAAAATGTAGGAAATCCGATCCAATACATTAAACGTTAGACACACACACACAATCTGCGTTTTATAATAAGTAAGATAAATAGAATTCACATGCGTCATATTTTAGAGAACTACAAGCTTTTTGCACATCTTAAGATTTTTCCTCTAAAATCATCTTTTGTCTTCTACTCCAGAGACTGGATTACAGATATGAAATTTGTACTTAAACACACCTGCTTGTCACACTAGTTTCCCAACTACCACAGAATTAAATATGTATGATCAATAAAAATTAAATTATTACAAATTAAAATAGTATATGTTCATGTTAAATATTGGTTTTTATTCTTACACTTAAAATTTGGCAAGTAATATGTATATGTTATGAAATATAATACTTTATTTAACAATGCTGTAGTCAGTTATATATGGCATAAGAAAGATTTGTATTAAATGGAAGTCTAAATCTAGTTTAATATCTAGCAGTCGTCATTTTCTTTCCTTTCTGGATTTTTTTTTATTTTTCACTTCTATGAAAAATGTATTTTACTGCATATTGTAGAAACATAAGTAAAATGTATTTACATTCTCTATCACTCACACACATGCTCTTCTATAGTTATTGTATTACTGGCAGAACCAATATTCTAACAATATTATTTAGTTGCACTATTATTTTTAGTTGTACAAAGAAACTGCTTGTCTTACTAAAATAAGTGAAAATATTTAACTGCTCATTTAAGTTACATAATCCATTTTTCTGATAGAATCATTTGCTTTATTAATCAAGATACTACAACTAATTATTTTTCAATGAATTTACTGACTATTGCCTTATGTGGAGGGGTGTCTAGGTGTGGTTCCTACCTGTCAAATTTTAACTGTCATATCTTAACATGTATATTTTCTGCACCAATATTTTATAATGTAACGAAGTAATTATGACAGTTTCTTATAATCTCTTTAATCTATCTTGCTGTTTATTATTCTTTTACCACTAACAGTTAAAAGAAAAGGTGACACATCAGATTTGTCACTGGATGCCTTAGAAAGAAGAGACCAATCTCTTTCCAAAAATAGTCATGCTTTTCATAAGAATTTAATTAATCATTTGTTATCAGCTAAAAACATTTTCAAGAACATACTTTTATAATCATTGGTAAATATAACTGAAAAATATTCATTCCAAATGTAAGTGTGCATCGCAATATATGAACTGTAAATGTAAGTTTTCTGTGTTAAAATATTAAACCCCTTTGACTAAATCAGTAGTTCTCAAAGTCCCAGTTTATATTCCTACCTTCTTGAACCTAGATTTACTTAATTTTTCATCTATTTTGAATTGCCACCTAATACTTTTTCACTTGCTATTAATATTCCTCCCCTGGGAGCCAAATGCCTCCTGTTTGAGAATCACTGATATAAACTATTCTTTTTCTTTTTTCTTTTTCAGGGAATATTGTCATTGTTCTACCTTGTATCATCTGATATGTATGCTCTCATCAACTATGTGTCATTTGTCAACTGGTTGGCTATTGGTCTCTCTGTTATCTCCCTCCTTTACTTTAGATACGCAAGACCCAATATGAAGAGGCCAATTAAGGTGAAATATTCTCACTTTATTCCTTTTTTTTTATTGTTGGCAATTCAGTAATTACAAGTATTTCATAGCCTTGTTAGTGAGTCAATATTAATTTGTCTCCTATTTATTTTGATCTCTAAACCTGCTTTATTAAAAAAGGAACCAAATGTATTAAAAAATTTCCTTGTTCAAAATTGAAAATCTAGTAAAGATATATTCCTTTTTGTATAATTTATTAAAATTAGCTTAGCACACTGACTCAAGTAATTGGATGCCCAGTGAGGATTAAACTCTATTCAATAACAAATGTCTGCTAGACTAGTTCACTAACTCTGTGGTGAGGTACTCTTATGTTGGTAGATGTAATTCACAGATAATATTGTACAAAGTATTCTATACTATTTTTTTATACCCAATTGACTGGTAAAAATAGATTAATCTAGAACATAAGCAATACTTTTCAAGAAAGCATATTTAAAACAAGATCATTAAAACCCTTTTGTTTAAAGATACAAAATTAAAACCTTATTCAACTTTATTAAAATTGATATCTGAAGGTTGGTATTGTATTATTATTTTCATATTAAACTTGTAATAATGTTTTTTAATAAATGTTTGAAAATTTATGAGGGAAAGTACATATAAAATGTTTATACTATTATTAGATAGCTTTAAGAAAACATAAACAACTATTTTACTAGTTCTGTTCTGTATTTTAGGAAGTGACTGGTGATTCAATTATAAATCAGTTTCATGTACTTGGCTTTTTTTTGTTATTGATAATGTTATTGAAAATATGGCTTAGTCTTAGAAGGAAGTTGAGGTTTAATTGTATATTAAAAACATCTTTACATAAGGAAACAATTAATAAAATTAAGACACACACACACACACACACACACAATTTTTTGTTGAAAGTTTTCTTATGTGTTTCATCCTTTAGTTCGATGAAACCTAGGACAAAATGTCACAAAACTTTTTCCACCTTGTCATATATTGTTCTTGATATATAAAATATATATTTGTTATCTATAATATTTTAAATTTGTTCTAATTCTTAAGGGATTTTATATTCATTTTCTATTCTCAGGTTAACCTGATCTGGCCTATTCTTTATACCATTGGATCTATCTTTCTTGTGATTTTACCTATCTATGCAAAACCTGTTGAAACTGGTAAGTTTATGGTGTAACTTTTTGCACAAATTATAATTTTAGAAGATAAAATTTACTGCATAAAGGAGGATAAAACATTTAATAAGTTTTACTTTGAAAATCTGTGAATTAATTCATGTTGTGGCAATGTTTAAATTTTGTTTGTTTTTTTTTTTATAAAAATATGAAAATTTAGTAGATATTTATCATTTTATAAAGAAATAAATTTGAAAAATCTTTATTAAAAAAATTTACGAAAATCTACAAAACTTTATAAATATGTGAACCATCTACAATGCAATAATTTTTTTTATTTACCATTTTATAAGTAAGTATGAAAACATTTTTTTTATTCATGATTTTATAAAAAAAAAATATCTATGAACTATAAAACAAGAAAATTTAAACATGTTTTTCCAGACATAGATTTTCTTCTCAAATTATTTTATCTCCGATTACTTTTTTAGCTTTCATTTTTCAATTTATTTTTTTATAAGTGTGATCTAGAATCAAGGATGTTTAATAAATAGAAAACCAAACCGTGAAACTCCAGCAATTATAGGCTATCTCCTTTTCTACTCTATTTATTTTTTTATTTAATTTTTTTTTAAGTTTTTAAATCTTTGCTAATTTTTTTAAAAAAATTCCTAGAAAATATGCCAATTTGTCAGCTGATTGTTGACTGTTATAATAGTGGTATCAAGGAAAATAAACGTCCTTTCGATAGTTTTTTGTAGGTATGAAGTTTAAACTTTGCCCATGTTGTTTTGTATGCTCAGTCCTTAGCCAAATCTCTAGGTTGTTGAATGCTGTTCTTGTTAATGATTATTATAAAAGGTAAATTAATCTTCAGCTTATTTACTTTTCTAGTTTTAATGATCAAGTATGGTATTACAGGTGAAGTTATGGTGTGAGGAATAATGTGGGATAACATCAGTTCTAAGAAAGAAGGTTAAAAAATTATTCATTTTCAATAAAATAACTGCTAATGAAATGGCTTTAAAAACTTTCCATTTAGAACTTTGGTTCCTTGATATACTAGTTAAGGCTTTATGAAAAAATGACATTAAGTGAAAAGCTTTTTATGAACATTTTATTTTTACATTATTTTTAAGGTATTGGCTGCTTAATCATTGCCAGTGGAATTCCAGTTTATTTAATCTTTGTCACTTGGAAAAAGAAACCAGCTGCCCTTCAGAGATTCTTTGGTAAGTGTGAAACTTAAAATTAATTCTATCAACTACACTAACATAATCACTGATGTATAATATATATAAATATATATTTCATTTAGATGCAAAATTCATCTTTAATTATGAAGTGGTATTGAAATGTTATTGGCCCAACCAACAAACACATTCTTGTTATTTGGTTAGATTTTGGCTCAAGATCTTTTCAGCACCCTCCTTTGTATATTGTATAATGAGTTACTCTTATTTAAATTTGTAAATAGGAAGGGTTCTAATCCCATTTTTTAATAGGTGAACCTCTGTGTTAAAGTTATCAGCATTCCCAGCACTTTTGGGTGGTGTGCTGGATAGAGGCTTGGAATGAGAAATTTGAGAGCCTAGTTCAAATTCCAGTTGGGTTCATTACATTCCTTTATGAGTAAATAACCCTGAGAAAGGTATGAATGCATCTCCTCCTCCTCCTCAGCTATGATCTGAAAAAAATGTTGTTCTCAAAAAAAAAAAAAAAAAAAAAAATTAATATATTTTTTTTTTGAAGAATAAATCATTGCTACAAAAGATCATTGTTAAAGAATTATCCTTACAATCCAAAATAGATTTCAGCTTTAAATAACCCACAAAGTTGATAAACTGTTAAAAAAAAAAAAAGAAATTTACTCATGTATTTTTGTAATATAATGCTTAACAATTAGTTTAGAGCTAAAGTGACTTTGTTAATGGAGATACACACATGGAGATTACCCTTTTGTTAACAGGAAAACACAAATTAATGTCCAGAATTTTATGAGAAAAACATTTTACTAGTATATTTCGGCATCAATACATTACTTGTAAAACAAGAAGTGGTTTAATAGAACAATTAATCTTGGAGGTATGAAATTGGCAAACCAAGCTCAAATTCTGGCTGAGGCGGTTTGAATAAATTTTGCAATATACCTTTGGGAAAAGGCATGAAACTCTCTCTTCCAATAAGTGAGGTTAGAGATTCTCTACTGTTTACCAAATTTCCCAATGTTCTAAGCTTCAGAGGAAGATGAGTAAATGCCAGAGTACCCTCGGCAACCTGTTAATTTGAAATATAGTTTTAACCTATGGATATCAATTTCAACAAAACAATTGTTCAATGTGAATTTTTATCAATAAGGCCATTTATTTATTTTTTTTCTTTTATTAGTTTTTCCAAGCTCAGTATATTTCAATGGCTTCAGCATTGTATTAAAGACTATAGGATCTAAGGTCCTTGTTAATACTGAGTAGATGGTATAAAAAAAACATAACATACATCCAGCACTAAAGGACTTTAATATTTCTGCTACTTTATCTGTTAATTGAAAAAAAAAAAAAAAAAAGGCCTTTTCAAGAGCTTTTGTTTGGAACATTTAAAATCTCTAAGTTTTGTTTTAATTAATCAACATTTAATCAGATGTTTAATTGCTGTTACCAGTTAATGTTTGTGTAATATATTTAGAGCAGTGTTTACATTAGTCGGACTATTGTCCTCATCTTTGTCGCCATATTTGTCACAACGTTTCGGCCTTCTTCAGGTGGTTGGAATTTCGAACTGAACCCTTTATTTCGATCACTGGGGTAGACTGTTCTAGTTCCACGTGCCATGTTTGATGGATGTCAGTTATCAGTTAAGGGATCCTAATTTTCCCTCTGAAAGTTCTCCACTACCTTAACTAGGTATTGAACTCACCTTCTTTGGGTCTGTCACTGGATCTAACCAACGCCTTTATCCACTGTGTCCTTGAGAACATCTGGGTATGAACTTCTGAGTATTATAAACCTAATGTTTTCAGCATCATTTTTTACCAGTGCTCATATTGCAATTTTGCTGTTATCATTGCATGTCTTTACCAGAGTTCATATTGCAACTTTGTTATCATTGCTTTTCTCTGGCACTCCTTATTACTGGTTCCTATATTGTATTTATTTCTATGCTTGGTCGGCTCAGGAGATTTTTGTGGCCTAACACAATGGAGAGAGAAGGGAGATCACCACCCCCTGTGGGATCATGTTGAGATCATAGACAGGGAACACCATTGGAAAATTAAAAACTTAAGGAATCAGCACATATGCTAGGCCACAAAAATCTCCTGAGCCGACCAAGCATAGAAATAAATACAATATAGGAACCAGTAATAAGGAGTGCCAGAGAAAAGCAATGATAACAAAGTTGCAATATGAGCACTGGTAAAAAAAAAATGATGCTGAAAACATTAGGTTTATAATACTCAGAAGTTCATACCCAGATGTTCTCAAGGACACAGTGGATAAAGGCGTTGGTTAGATCCAGTGACAGACCCAAAGAAGGTGAGTTCAATACCTAGTTAAGGTAGTGGAGAACTTTCAGAGGGAAAATTAGGATCCCTTAACTGATAACTGACATCCATCAAACATGGCACGTGGAACTAGAACAGTCTACCCCAGTGAGTGAAATAAAGGGTTCAGTTCGAAATTCCAAACATTGTGACAAATATGGCGACAAAGATGAGGACAATAGTCCGACTGATGTAAATACTGTACATAATACCGCATCTCAGAAATATAGACAATATTTAGAGCACTATAACCTGAAAAAAAAGTTTTGTACTTTGCCATATTTTAGGGATCTTACTGACTTTTTGAGTCAGTTATATTTCTTGGGGTTGGGTGGGGGGATTGTAGGTAAGCTAAGTTTTAGTAAATAAAGCATTGTTACCGGGTGTGTGAATTTCAATGAAATTCATCCTGATTGTGGTCTCTATAATCAAAAGCTACTCAGCATATTTTCTCACATCTCAGACAAGTTTTAAAGCCAATCCTCTGTCTCTGTGCAAACAGACAATATCAAGTTAGAACTTTGTATTTATGGCATTGATACATAAAGCAAACATTGTGGGAACACTACACCTTGTTCTAAAATTATTTTAAACAGTACAGTATTTCTAGCATGCATCAAGTCAGACAAAATTTTTGCATTACAAAAGTTAGATCATAATATCTTGAAGTGCTAAATTCTGAAAGGTTTCCTTTATAAGGTTTTTTACATAAAGTGTTAACTGCATGTACATAAAAATACAAACAGAATTTTATTTTCCTGCCATATTAAAGTCAAGTTCTTAAATATAAAATGGATTTGGAGGAAATTTTCACAGACTACAATTGCCCCCCCCCCCCTTTATGATTTTTTTTTTTCTCTTTTTGATTAGTTTGAAGTTTAACCAGTCAGTTTATTAAATATTACAGTCAGAAGAGTTGGATCTATGAGTTAGTAGTTCAAGTAATGGAGATTTATAAAAGTTTTCCACTTAAGTTTTCTCTTCTGCTCTTAATCTGTGGTTTCCTTTGGGAAGGGATGTGGGTCACAAGACTGTGTTACCAGGTCTCCTTATTGGCAGCCTGTGTGGTCTACCAACAATAATTGATTTAGCAAGAGATGAGGCTCTAAAAGATTTTGGTGTTTGTGATGAAGTCACTCCAGTGCATATTGAGAATGATAGAAGCATTTATATTGATATTCAATTCAGTATTCAGCTTCATATAGAAAAGTGGACAGTATAATCTCAAGGTATATTCTCAAATGGGAGCCACTAAAAATCAAAAGGAAATAGGCATTAAATCAAACAGAAGTAATATTTTTAAAAGGTTGCAATGTATTAACATTTTACTGCTCATGTTGAAGGCCTTCAACTGTTCATTTTTAGCAGGCTGTTACCTCATGTAACTTATATTGCCAAAGAAATTTTTTGTTTATTTTATTTAAGACCACTGGTTGCTCATAGATGCTTAGTCAACACTGAAGGTATCAGAGAAATTCAAATTTATGTGGTCTTTTGTCACATCTCTAAGAACTTGTGTTGATAGATCAATATTAATACCACATCTTTAAGCAATTCAGTCTACAAATTTTTAATTACTTTCTCTCATATATATATATATATATATATATATATATATATATATATATATATAGAGAGAGAGTTAATTCATGTATGCTTCTTAATGAATGTAGGTACAGTATGTTATTAGGCCAATAAACAAAATAGAAACATGAAAAAAATGTAAAAATTTTTAAACGTTAGTGTCCTTTCTCAAGGAAAAATATTGTAGGGCTTATATTATTGGACAGTTGACCCTTGAATAGAGGATAAGGTATTATTTATGAGTTTCCCCAACAACCTAATGGCTGAGTAGCCCTTGACACAGATGTCTATACAGTCATGTGTGCTATAACATTCCACTTTGGCCCTTACTTGGGCTAAACAAGTGTGGTCAGAGAGCCCCGACCTGACCAATCAGCTTGTTCAATAACTGTTGCAACTACACTATACTCACTAATAACTTTATCAATTAATTTACCATCATAATCAACAAGAGTAATTCATGTTATGTGGTGGTGGCAGACAGTCAACCTGTTTGAAAGTGCAAAATTTCAACATGGTTGTATACCCCAGAAGTTCCAACTATACTTGGGGGAAGGAACCATACGAGTGCTTGATAACACTTTTAAATCATCCATGTAGCCCTATTAAAGTCGATTCAAATGGGCTTCCCTGTTTACATAACCCATTACTTGGCTTGGAGGTCGATAGGAGCATGGATTTTGAAATCTCATATAATACATATCCTATAACAAATAAATCAAGAGAAAGCATACTGAATCTGTTTCTGACAATGAAATAAAAAAAAAAAAATTCCTTTCTGAAAGTCATAGTTCTTGAATCAACATGAGATACTTCACTAAGTAATTAAATAGAAAAGATCATATCCTCAAACCTAACCTCCCAAAAGATAGCACCTTACTGGTAGAAATCACAAAACAAAACATGCAGATATATTATTAAAAATGACAACTTTCTATAAAAACAAGATAAAACATACCCACATTGAATGTTAAACTCATCCAAGGGAGTAGTGAAAGAAAAAAAAGGAAAGTGGGGGGAATTGCACAACAAACTGAACCTTTCTAAACAGGAAGGAAAAAAAGACCAAACCCTCCCAACACAATCAGTTTCGATACAGAAGACACAGAACCAAAAATGAACAAGCAGAAATTTCACCTAAACAGACAAGAAGGAAAAACAAAATGAGACATCTTACTAATCAAAGCTATGCAAAGCAGTTAGAAAAGATCAAGCTCACAATCAAAACAAATGAACAGATCAGAGCATGGAATATATGGTCACGGAAGACCAAATCCCTGAAACATGAAGAAAAACAACACAGTTATTGATAATAAACTTCTGCCTAGCTACCATTTACTCACAAGAAAGTTTCAAAAGAACCAAAAAATGTCACTCAAATGACTACTCAAACAACTAATATCTCACACAAAATAGAAAAATAAATACTACAGTGGAACTGCTAGGTTTAAGACCACACTATGAAGAACTAAAGACTCATGCTTAAATACAACACAAGCATAAGTAGTGTCCAAGAAATACTACTATAAAAAAAAACATGAAATATTCATACTGAACGACAAGCTATTGCAGTAAGGACCACTCTACACTCCACAATAACAATCTGCTCAATATACATTCCATCAAAACAAAAATCTGAAATTGATAATCTAATCAAACAACTCCCAAATCCCTACTTCAATGCACACAGTAATATCTGGGGTAGTACACAATCCTAAACGATGGATCATGTACCTATGTGAAACCAGCTACTGGTTCTATGTCAGCAATAGATTTATCAATTTGTTCCCCCTACAGTCTTCATGGACTCTCAATGGAAAGTTCATGAAGACCAATGTGGTGTTAGTGATCACTTCCCAATCTTTATCAAAACAAAAAAGCCCCAAAATGGCGACTGAACAGAGTAAAATGGCTTGCAATCAGAACTTTGCCAATTATAAATAAACAGTCAAATACTTAAAGACCCAGATCCAATATCCTTCTTCACAAAACTATTATTTAGCATAGCATCACAAACAATTCCTAAAATCTCCAACAAATGCCACAAACACAAACCCTGGTTCATCACAGAATACAGAAAAGCCATCAAAAACGGGGGGAAAAATGCTAAAAATAGTTAAAATCCAACACAACAGCTAATCTGCAAAATTGTTGACAAACCCATATGAAAACACAACATAAGCATCAAACAAGAAACCTGGAGAACACGTCTCAAAAAATTATTGCCAAACACCAATCGACAAAACATAGCAAATAATGACACATGGTATTCAGGCAAATTCCAAAACTCATGGCTAGAAACAACAATCATACCAATCCCTAAGCCTAACGACTCCAAAAATCCAACCAACTACGACCTCATCTCGCTAACCAGTTGTGCCATAAATGATCATACCTACCATCATGATACCAAATAAAAAATAAACAATTCCAAATAATTAGGGTTAATTCTTGATAATAAACTTCAAATCAAACATTGATGCTCTCAAACAAAAATGTCAAAAAAGACTAAATTATTAAAAGTAATCTCTAAGAAGGGTTGGGGAGCAGACCATAAAGTGATGCTTCTTCTATACAAAGCGTTCCTCAGATCAAAATGAGATTATGGCAGTGTTGTCTGTAGCTCGGCCCATAAATCATACTAAAAAAAAAAAAAAAGCTATGGAGCTTTCCATACATCACCTACACAAAGTCTATATGAAGAAGCCAACTACCCCCCACTAAATCTGCAATGAGAAAAGCTATCATAAACAAAAAAAAATACCTAGTGTATCAAACACAATACACATACTTCTATACTAACAAACCAACAGCTATAACTTCTTTTGGCTTCTGTATTAAAGAAGCCTCAACACAGGGATATGAAAACCCCAAAGACATAGTTCAACTCACATTAACTCATACTCCACCATGGATGACCTCTTAACCAAATATAGATCTAAGTTTGACACATTTTTACTGTGTCAAAGTAAATTTGAAGAATTCAGAGAAAGTTACTATGGCTATACAGCTATATATACACACACACTATTTAGCCTAATAGAACGCCAAGAAAAAACAAAATCAAACTTTAAAAAAAGGGAAAAAAACAAACATCCTAGTTTAGATAAAACCATGTAGGTATAAAGGGAAACCTAAAAGCAAATACATTGGCCAAAAATCCTAGCAATATGGAAATTACAAATATGAAAATACTATAGACTTCAAAAACAAAATCGCTACATATATCCAAAAATCAGAAGCAATATGGGACAGCTACCAAAGTAATAAATTTTATGAAATTGGACCAACAATTGGACTTGAGACTGCTGAGGCATTGTTGTCTGAATGAAGGCAAGATACTGTGCTGACTCTGTTTCGAATTGGACACACATATTTTACCGATGTACACTTTGTGGACACTTTTTCCTTTTACAAATACAAAGGATATACACACATATGCCGTAAATACCAAATTATGAAATACTATTTAAAAAAAAAGTGCCTGTCTCTGTTACTAGGCTTCCCAAGGGAAATAGTGTTTTCTTAAACACTTGTAGATATATATACACACACAAACACCTCCACAAAATATTTGTTTACCAATAGAAAGTGTTCACATCCAAAAAACATGTCTCCAAAGCATTCAGAGAATAAAATAAAAGATTAAAAATTACCGGATGTGAAAACTACCTAATTTGGCATGAAATAACCCATAAGATTAATATTGGTAAACAATACCCTTACCTAAGGCCAGAACAGATATGTGTAATATGTACACACTAGCTATAGATTATTGATTTTTCTTTTTTAGGTTGGTCAGTTTGCATCTCTTAAAATTTAAGTAGCAATGACCATCTGTATATGTGGTTGTTGTTGAAATGTATAAGTATATTCAGGAATTGGTTCATTACATTTACTATAATACTGTACTGATTCATTTGTAAACAAATGCATGTCTAGCAGGCCAGATTGGCAAATTCACCTAGAAAGTTTTAGTTGTTTTGTATATTTTAATAGCATTTAAAAAAAAATTTTTTTTTTTTTTTAAATAGTTTATTATGAATACACACTAAAAAAATGACAAACATTATAAAAAAAAAAAAAAAAGGCTTTGATAATTAGTATTATGGAATTATATATAAGAAATCATTATATATTTTTCCTAAAATGTATTAATGCTTTCATATACTATATAAATATATAGTTATATTTCTTTTTCCTTTAAAAAGAAAATTGTTTAGAATTTATCCTGTTGGTGTATTAAGTAACCTCCATATTTCTTTTAATGACTTTCCTTAGAGGAAGAAGTTTTTGATCTTTTCTAATGGAGTGTATTATGCCTGATGTAGGCTGAAGAGTATATCAACCAAAATTTTGATATACATTATATGAAGTGGGTTCAATTGTCAGAACAAAAATAAGGAAAATTACATAATTTTGAAATTTAGTATTTAATTATTCCAAAATGATTTTTTTGTGATTTTTACTTATGAAAACAAGTCCTTAATACAAATGATCTCTTTGTTTATTGCAGATAAATCAACTGAAATATTGCAGAAGTTGTTAATGGTTGTTCCTGAAGAAAAGAAATTAAGTTAAATGAGATTAAGGCAAACATCTACACACACCAAGCATTTGCTTCTAAAAAGAGGGAGAAGACATTTTTTTAAAGCTAAAGGAAAAAAAACTTATCATTTGTTATGTTCTGATCACATTCGGACAAAAAAAAAAAAAAAAGCATCAGTCATTGCAAATACAATGAATTTTAAATCTGTACACACAAATTCCCCCTTGATTTACTCATCACATACAATATAGGTGTCTGCTATCTGGAAAATCATCTTTACATAAAAAAAATTAAAAGCAAGCTCTCAATTATCTCTATTGAGAAATTTAAAAATCTGCATTCACACATAATTTTTACTTTTTTTTTTTACTTCTGGGATGAGGAGTTATTATATACATGCAGGCTATTGTCCGCATCTTTGTTGTTGTTATCACAACATTTCGGACGTTGTGCCGTATGGCTTTCATCAGGTGAATGTCGACAAACTGAACCCATTATTTAATTTACAGGAGTAGATTGTTCTCATTACACTGCACATGTCCAAGGATATCTTGTTTAGTTCTTATTTAGTACTGCTCTGTTATTGCTTTCCCTGTTTGCACTGAGTTCAAGTATGCACTGCCCAGTCCAGGGATCAAATTCCTAATGTCAAATTCATGATCCAACTTGCCTAGATAGGCACAGCAGCCGAAATGTGATAACAAAAATGAAAATAGGCCACATGTAAATAAAGTATTTTTTATTGTAGAAATAAAAAAAAACATTATAAATTTTCTTAGTTGGAATTTTGTAAATACTGCAAAATTTTATCTACATTTTATTACATAGACCCATGCAATATTTAATAAATTATTTTTTTTTTTTTTAATGAAATCTATTACTTATTAAATATATTTTAAAATTAGTTTTGATTAAGTGTTAATAATAAAATCCAAAATATGTTAATTCATAATTGTATTATTTTAGAGCAATGTACAGATACTGAACATGTAATAATGATTCTGTTCTTGAAATCACACATTGTCTATCATGTCATGTCTGAGTTTAAGGATAATTTAAAAACTTGAACACTTAATTTGCATTCAGACTGAGAAATAAATTTATTTACAAAATTTATTACTCCGATATAAAATCAACTAACACAATATTTTTTTGTATTATGCGTAATCAAATGCTAAAATCATATTTTTCATTATTTCCTGATGTGAAAATTTCACTTTTGTTTATTTAGCAATTTTGTTTTGTTTTTTTTACATAGCTAATATTGGGTAAAACTGATCTAGTCTAACAAAAAAACATTATCCATAGAACAATTGTTATAATAAAAATAAATACATAAAAAGAAAGTATCACAAGCCTATTCTACTTAAGTGATATTATTATAGTTAGTATCACTTCAATCAGAATATTGAAATTCAGGCTCTGAATTCCTGTACCAAATTTAAATCTGTATATGATTAAAAAAAAATACACACAAAGTGAAATATAGGTAAGGAAATATTTTTGTAAATAAAAAAAAAAAAAAAAAATTTAGTGGCATAAAAAACAATATTTTTTATCAAAGTATTTGGTTTCATTATTTAAAAAAAAAAAAAAAAAGGGATTTTAAAATTATAGAAATCAAGTTTTATCATGTGTATACATTATATACAGTTGTTTGGTGTGTTTTTTAGACTAAACATGACTATATTGTATATATGTATTTAGGTCTTGAATTGTTTTCCAAGTGCCTCAGTGTTTTTTTTTTTTTTGTTTTTTTTTTTTCTATTGGGGTATCGGAAATAATTTAATATTTAAAAAGGGGTTACAATATATATATATATATATATATATATATATATATATATATATATATTTGTAAGAACCGAGCTTCATTACAGTTGTTTAATATTAAATCAGGAGTTTCTGCAAGTGAATTTGATAAGTTACATGTTGAAATTAATTTTCTCATAGGTAATGCAAGAGTTGATGAATCTCATTTAACCTTAACTAATATAGTAATTATTTATTTATTGATGTTTAACTGCTAATTCTATTGTCTTCAACCTCAAACTGTAATGGGCATATTAAGATGCAAATATTTTAATACTCTACAGTACTTTATTAATATTATTAAGAGTTACTATAATCTAATTTTTTTTTTTTTTAATAATTTTTCTTTTACTTTTGTGTGAAAATTTTAGCGAGAGTGTTAGAAAATTGGAATTCGATAGCAAGTTTCATGTTGAAAGTATATCAGAATAGTGCCTGAACCTTAATACAGTGTTCTCAAGCCATTTTGTTTATGCAATCAGAGAATACACAGAATCATTAAATATGTGGATATGCACACACACACACACACACACACACACACACACAGAGGTCAGTCTATTGGAACTGGAAGACCAATTCATTTATGTAAATCATGAAACCCTTTTCATTTAGCTTCTATACTGAGGACATGAAAAGGAACATTATCATTAGAATAAATTCATTTCAATTTAATGATCTTCAGGCACAATCACAATTATTGTCATGGAAAACAAAGGATAAATTGTTCAAATTTTGGCTCAGACTTTGTCCACTGGGGGGGGGGTATAATTTTCCCCTGTGGTTGGAACAATTGCTAGATATTTTGACCTATGACAATTAACAGAAGAGTGGGTGCTTAGGCAAACCACTCTTCTATAATTAGCCAACTTGTCAAGATTTACATTGCCTTCAACCTTGACACTATCCAATCAATGAGCATTTTTTTATCTTTCTAGTCAGTACAAACACTTAAAATGAACTGAAACCTAATCCATTTTCTTGATATTAAAGCGTTTGAAAGAAATATATAAACATCTGATTCTAAAGCAATTAATGTGCATCACAAACTTATCATCTGATAGAATTTTAGAATAATTGTCATTTGCTCCTCAATCTTATCCAACACCAAAAATGTGCAATCATATATGTGCAATATAGAGGGATGTACAACTTTAACCCTTTAAGGCCAGAAGTGCCCAAATGCGACTGTAACTTTCACAAGCTTACAGTCTGGTGAGCGCCTGAATGTGTCCACAATTGGGTAGAACTGTATTTCAATATACAGCATTAATACACTTCACATGATTAACAATGAGCTGGAAATTTACAACTTTTAAAAGTTGTAAATTTCCAAAATTCTGTATACTTAATAAAAATATTTTCTATTTGCTTAAAATTTAAGCAGATTAATGTTTTGCTTTTTTTTATATCATTATTAATTTTTTATTTTATTTTTTTATGAAAATAAATAAGTACTAGGAAAGGTAAAATATGTAATTTATAATTAGCATTTCTACTTTAATTTCCTTTTTTTTTTTATTAATGTACCTATAGTAAACTAAAAATAAGAAAATTAAACAACATTTTTCTTTGCTCATAAATGAATGAACAAATTTGTTTTTAACTTTGCTCATTCTTGAAGAGCTTGATAAGATTTTCATATTAACATGAACAATAATCAGTTTGAATAAATAACTTTATTTTTAATATATATTTTCACAATCAAATATTGATTTAAGGAAAGTTCCTTATTTTGTATATGGTGATGTATATCAAAATTTGTATCACAAGGTCATTACAGATTGTAAATTTTATTTATTTTTTTAATACATTTGTAAACTTTCTTTTTTAACAGTTTTGTTTCTTTGAATCCCTCAATCTATTCTAGTAAGGCTATCCAAATTGTTCAAAGTAAAACTGATTGGCAAAAAACAAAATCTGGTCACCATATATGGTCATTTCAGCTAATACAGCAATTGCTATTTTACAGTTTTTTTTTTCTATTAGGATACACGTTATAAAGATTATTAATGTCAAAAAATTTATGATGAAAGGTAAACTGAATGTAACTCGTTAAAAAAAAAAAAAATGAAGCTCTGTTCTGGCATTTTTTTATATCATGGTGCTGTTCAAAGAAGGTGAATAATCTAATTGTCATTGACTACTTCAAGAGCAAAGAAAATCAATAAGTGTGGTACTGAAGTAGAATTTTTCTTCCTCTCCCTTATTGGCAATATTTTGGTGAACCAGCCTTATCTTGCCTATCCAACACAACATTGATCTAACAACTAACTGTTTATTTTATCATTAAGCAATAAAAACCTTTTAAGACTGTATGGAGGAAAGTATTTTTCCTTTCTTTTAAGATTGCAATATTCAGCTGAATAAAACATTCAACATTTCTTTAAATTTATAATTCCATTATTTGTTGAAATTTTTTTTTAAAAGTATGAATTAAAAATATTTGATAAAAAAAAAAGTTAGATTTTTGAAACAGAAAACAAAACAAAAATGTTGGATTCATTTTAAACAAAAGAATAAATTTCACTTGAGAGTGTATGTAACTCTTGTATTTGCCAGATCTCTGGAGACATTTGTAAAAAAAAAAAAAAAATAAAATAATAAAAAAATGTTAAGTCCTAACATCTATCCTTCAAGTTATTTACTTATAACCTAATAAACCTTAGCATGATCGGTCCGATTAAGTTATACAAGATTATTTCAAGACAATAGATAAAGGAAGTGCTGAAAAGTTCTTGGCCTGATCAATTTTCCCCAAAATGTGAACATACACACATACCAAACCCTTTTAACATCAACTTTCATAAAAAAACATACTTAAAAAATGTCCCTGCAGTGATGTAACCTACGTCTTCAACTCTCTCACAAAACATTTCCCAATCAACATAGAGGCACTACCAGACAGAAACAAAAAATGCCCACACATTATCACACAAATCCTGCCAAACCAACTAAAAATATGATACATAGGCATGCTAACATCTCACTAACATCAACAGGAATTATACACATGGATACCACCAGACTGACACAAAAAAGCCCACTAGAATCCAAACACGCACACATTAACACCACAAGATAAAGACACTTGAGATCTGCCTGACCAGTAATGTCCAGCCTGTTCTTTCAGATCTATTATCTTTCCAGATAAAGCAGATTTCTGATGTTCTAATCATCATTTCAGTAGGTTAAGTGATATACTTCTTGATGTTTCAGCTACAATGATTGTGGCTGACTGTGTTAAGCATCCCACTCAGACACAAGAGACTTCCAATGTTCAGCTCACATTTTCTGGGGCCTTCTCCATTCAGTTACAAGTAGTGATCCAAATAAAACTGTCCAGATGTAGGACCAATTTCTGGACTAGTCATCAAAGGCAATCATGTATTTGCTGCCAATATGTAAGTTGAGACTAGCAACTGTTTCTTCCAAACTTGTTTCCATAATCCTTATCCCATCAACCAACACTACTTTTCAAGTAATGAGAGATGAGCAAGAAGAAATGCCAAAAATATGGATTTGTTTAAGATACAATCCATCTTGACTGGGAATGATTGCTACACTAGAATTTTGGAATAAGGATCGGGGGACATAACTTTAACAGACTAGTATTGACGTCAATATAGTGCCTTCATCCGGCATTGCTCTCTTCTTCCTCTAATCATTGAAGATCAAAACAGTGTCAATAGTTTTTCCTCTTCCCACTTTGCCATTGGGCAATAGATTTCCTGTTGAACTTTGGATTTTCTGGTAATGATTAGCTAAAGTACTTTCTTCAGCATATATCTAAATCTGCATGTGTCATGACCAGGTTCACCTGCCTGACACAAGCAATACAATGTACCATTAAACAAATGATATAGAAAATTAATAGAAAGTCACTTTTAGAGTATGTATATCTGTTTTAAAAAAAAAAAACTTTCTGGAGCTTTAAAAATGTTTTCTTTGATTGTCAGTAAGATATTCTACATTGATGTTCTCTCTGTACAAGGCCCCAGAGCCACTCAAAGTAGAGGGTTACAGAGTAAGAGGCACTACAAGCAAAGTGATGGTGCCACCAAGATGAAAGGGGAAGAGAAGGTGAATATTTTAGAAGGAACTGGAAACCCAATCCTAAACCTCTACTCCTGTTCAAAGATCGGGGAGGAGTGTGAACCAAATGATTAGCAATAGGAGTAGATAGGTTTGCTAGACTTAATGATAAAATATGAAATATATTTCAATAAATGTGATTTAAAATATTAAACTATATGAGCAAGTGCTGAAAACTGAATAAATAATAAATTATTTTTACTTTTTGAATTCCTTAGTTGTAGAGAACCTTTCAGCATCCTATCATACATAAAATAAATTTCATAAGTTTTTTGTTTTTTTATTTTTTTCATTACATTCATTAATGACTTGTTTCAGATCTTTGAAAGTGATGCCTTTGTCAAAAGCTTACGTTAACAAATTTATATCTTAATCTATTTGTGAAAAACAAGACTATACACTTTATCTGATGAGGCACAAAGATCCATTGAATTCTTTCGTAGTCAGCATGAGTTTGTGATAGGGGAAGAAATTTTCATTATCATTGCCCACCTAAAGGCCAAAATGTAACAAAAGAATGATATCAATAAGCCAACAACTCTTAATGATAATGACTTCTCATGAAATAAGGTAACATTCAATTTATAAATAAACTGGGAACAGAAATGAAATAAAATTTCAAATGAAACTTGAACCCAGAAATCAAGGGAAAAAAAATGAATAAAAATATAAAGAATTTGGTATGCATAATACTAGAGTACATGAGAAAATAGTGAAGATTAGAATGAATTATAATTAAGCCTAAAATTTATTTTAATTAAAAGATCTTTCCAATCTGAAGATTTGTTTTGATAATAATGAAAAGTGACTCCTAAAAAATAAATAAAATTCCATTCCTAGGTTTACATTAATGATGAACTGAAGAAAAGTGAAATGGACGGATTTTTATTATAGTAACACCAATTTTCTTTTTCTTAATGCAAGATCTGTTAGCATTAGATATTTAAAAGAATTTTAACACCAAAAATCTTTCTAAGATGGAATTCGATTGACCAGATATCAAGTTACGATGTCATCATCGTCGTCATCATCATCTTCCAGAATCAATTTTTCCATGTAAGGGAGTTCCTCAACTAGGTTCCATTTCTTGGAAAAAGGAGCTGGAAGAATAAAATAAAAAAATAAATAAAATGTAATTGTTGAATAATTCTTTTTTTTTAAAGATATTAATTCAGTTTTAGTTACTAAACTCACTAGTGTCATTTTGGTATCAAGACTGAAAGAACAGTTTGTATGCTGAATCCATTAAACCTTTTCATACAAAATGAGCTATAAAGTAATCACTATGGAAAGCATCATAAAAGCAGTAAAGATTAGGATACAGCTGTACATTTTTCTTACTTAAATTACCATAGTATATTTTTGTTTATTGATTCTCAAAATGAAGATGGAAGAAATAATATTTTGGCTATGTTATACTTTGTCTGCTGCTAGGGGTCATATTCTGCCAGTCAATCTTCTCCACCCACACTTTTTGAGCTGAAGGATTCTTAGACAAAGCTGGTTGAAAGTCTTCAAGAATCAAGGGAGAGAAAAATAAAAGAAAAACAACATTCAAGGTAGACAACTAACACTTGTTTGTTAAAACAATGGACTTATTTGATTTTTTTTTAATCAATTCACCCCAAGCAAAGTGATAATGCCACTAAGAAGCAAGGGGTTACAGGGAGTGAAAAAAAATGAAAAAAAACTTTAGAAGGAAGTGGGTAACCAATTCTAAACAGAAAACAAGGTATAAACCTCTACTCCTGTTCAAGATTTAATTTCCAAATTAACCTTTCCTAATTCAATGTTACTATAGTCAGTTCTTGAATATTGGAATCATTCATGATACATCATGAACAATAATTCCCCTTATTGATGACTGATAATCAAGTTCAGTTGATTAATCAGGGAATTTTGGTTTCAGTCCTGCAGAAAAAATTGTCTCCAACAATGGAAAAGGTTAATAATAATAATGATTAATAGCGACTGGACTGCCACTCTCAGCCTGCTTATATTAAGGTAAACCAGTGTGGTCAGGTTGAGGTTTTGATTCATTATCAAAAACCCCAAGTTGAACATTTTCCAAATTTCACCAATTCAAATTCCCTTTTGGGCTCTCAGATTTCCATTAGTTAAGGAACCTCTCACTGCCACTCTTAAGGTGGATCTACGTTGATTACGTAACCAATCAGATCCACTTGACCAATTAACATTATTTAATCAGATTATAATTTCTTCATTTTTCTATCAGCCTCAGTATATTCTCAGCATATTATTTATGTTTCTCTTGAATTACCTTCTAAATCCTATAGATGATTCAGATCCAGACTCTTTGGTTCTTTCTTGTAAACATCAATTTCTTATCAAATCTCACTTTCTCTGGACTTTTCAAAATAGAAAATTTTCCTTTAAGTAGGTAAATAGGCACCAAAGTGTTTCTGGTATACCAATAAAATCCAAATTACCTATGTGGGATTTCACATTAATACATCAAATTAACTCCATTCCAATTGGCCACCAAGTAGATTCATTTATTTCTAAAATTCACATAAGTAATTGTCACAGTTTTTTTTTTTTATGAAAAGGGTAAAAATGTGAACTAAATGACCCCCTCCCCAATAAAAAACAGTTTATGAAGAATACAGCATGATAATCAAGTAATTTTCAAAGTTTCATGCTGCTGATATCTTGCAGAACAATGATCCCTCATCAAGTAGAGAACAAATCTAGCAAACAGATTACTTCAGAATAATGTAAGAGAAAAAGTGCCAACATGTTCAAAATATCTAAATCAATGTTGAAAATGTTAGTCTCTTTAATGCCTTAGAAAAAAGTAGTGGACCATATTTCCATGTCCAGTTTATTACTTAAACATTAACAAATATGGTTGACTTTTTAAATTGTGATGGACAATGAAAAGTGGTGGTTTTTATAATGACATAACATGCATGTGATCAAGGAACAAATCAAATTAACCACCAGCATGAACAACATCAAAAACTGGCCATTTGTATCCAAAGAAAGTGATTCTGTCTACATACTGGGATTGGAATGGAATCCTCCATTTCAAGCACTCTCAAAAACATCAAATGATTGATTCACACAAGTATTGTTCCCAATTACACCAATTAAAGGCAGTAATTAAAAAAAAATTGTTCTGCAAAAAACAAAAAAAAACTAAATGATACTCCATAAAGATAATGCTAGAGCATATATTTCTTTATTAACCAATCAAAAATTGTTAAGCTTAGCTGACAGGTTTTCATTCATCATCTAGTCACCAGATATTGTACTTTCATATTATCAGTTATTCTGATCTCTACTGAATTCTCTTAATTAAAAAAATCCAATTTTCTAAGACTTCAAAAGATGCCTAGAGCAATTGTTTGCTGAGAAATTATAGGAGGATGGAATTATGAAGTTACTTAAAAAATTGAAGAATGGAACAAAATGGTAAATATTTTGCATCCTGAAAGTAGAAAATAGACTAAACATTTTAGCCTACAAAATGAAGTTATATTAACAAAGAGGAATGATTTTTTATTTCTTTCATTTATATTTGTATTTACTTTTCATCCCTGAACAATAGCAGACTTTGGTCACAGATAGTGGCAGATCTATAAAACTAATGAAGCTTCAGGGCCCCCAATCCCAGAGGGGCCCCTGAAGCAACCTTTTTCAATGAGTGAATTTTTTTACACTATTTACATTATTCAGACTATTGTCCTCAACTTTGTCGCCATGTTTATCACAACGTTTCGGCCGTTGTACGCTCCAGCCTTCTTCAGGTGGTTGGAATGTCAAACTGAAATAGATAGTGTACATAATACCTCATCTCAGAAATATAGACAGATACTGGAGTGAATTTTTGAACAAAAATCAATATTTTTTTTAATGTCTGTTATTAAAATAAGGCCATTTTAGTGATAGAATCATAAGCCAACGGGCTGAAGTAGCTAATGTTGAACTTAAAATATGCCTCATAATTCCCCTGTAATTGGTCAAATTTCAAAATTTTCTTCGGGGCTTGCGAGTTGTAGGAGTTCATAGGTTCACTGGTCACAGGGTAAACATTTTAAATTAAGTTTCTATAACTCAATTTTCAAAAGCCAAATTAATAAATATGAAATACAATTCACTTAGTAGATCAGCAATATTTCTTTGAAGTGGACCAAACAGACAGTGTTTCTAGGACTTGTGGGCTATGGTAAACTTAAAACTAAGATATATTTTTAATCATTTATTTTAAACTATATTAAGCATAAACTTGAATAAGTTTTTATCAGCAGTAATTCTAAAAATTAAATTATTTTTCCTGATATAAAACTAAGTTAAACTGGTTCAAAATTTGTGCTTATCAACATCAACTCTAATAAATGTTTATAAATATATGCAGACTTAGCATGCTTCATCTTTTAACATGGCTTCCCATATAAACATGTGCTAAATGATGAAATTTTCAGGCAAGATATTTGAAACAGAATATCCTTTATTTGGGAGGTATTTGTAAAAGTTTAACTTTCTCTCTTTCTACTTTATCTCAGCATATGAATAGACTGCAGGTTGATCACCTCTAATTGTAGATCTGATTAGAAGTCCTCAAAGGTATTGAAAAAGACATTTTATAAATTTTACACATAATATTAAAGGAAAAATAATATAAAAACTTACTACAGAATAAACTATTCCATGTGTTTTGGGCTAGAGAAAATATTTGGCTCACATGTCATATTTTGCTGTCTATTGTACTAAGTTCATAATTATATGAGATAATAACTCTTGTTACTGAACTAAACAGGTTAAAAGATCTGTACTTCAGTTTAAATAAATGTATTAGGAAAAACATATTTGAACAAGTGGAGGGAACTTTAATTAATAATTACTTTAAAACAGTTTAATCATTAAAAACAAAAATAAAATCTTGAAAAAGATAAAGCCAAGATAACAAAAAAAGGTATCCATTTTGATAAAGTATCTGCTTGGAAATAACACTAAAATGATAAGCCAATCCTTAAAAGGATTATTTACACTATTTATATTTGGACTAATGTCCTCATCTTTGTTGTTGTCATCATATTTTGGCTGTTGTGCCCTCCAACCTTTCTCATATCAATCTAGGTAACCTACAAGGAATTCTGAATTGAACCATTTATTTAATCTTTGGGAGTAGGCTGTTCTCATTCCACAATCTTGAAACATAAGATATGCAGATGACACAGTACTGATAGCTGACACGGAAAAGAAATTACAAAACTTCTTACAGAAGGTAGCAAAGGAGAGCGAGAAGAATGGATTAAGCATAAAATACAAGAAGACAGAATACATGGTCATTGGTAAAAGGATGAGTCCAAAATGTGATTTTCAGGTTGGAGACACTAAAATCAAGCAGGGTTCAGTTCAACATTCCAACCACCTGAAATTTAAATATCTGGGAAGTGTTTTGACAGAGGACAGTAAATGTGAAGTAGAGAACTGAAGATATATTGAGTTGGCCAAAAACAAATTCCAAAAGCTAGGCAGAGTATTACAAGACAGGAAGATTTCTTTGATAACAAAGAAAAGAGTAGAGCTGCTACATGACATCTGTCCTCCATTATGGCAGCAAATATTGGATGGTCTCCTCAAAGATGAAGAAGAGACTCAATGCAGTGGAGGTATGGTTATACAGAAGGATGCTAAGGATATCATGGACTGAGGGTGCAAGCAACAATGAGGTTTTGGAGAGGATGCAAACAAGGAGGAAGCTTATACTTAACATCAGGAAAAGGCAGCTGAAATTTCTGGGACACGTAATGAGAATGGAGGTCTTGGAGAATCTGATACTCACAGATACTCGAAAAGGGAAAAAAAAGTACAAGGGAAAACAACGCATGCTATATCTAGCGGGCTTAAGCAAGTAGATAACGGAAGAGAAGTAACAAAGGGACAAAACTTATTGAGAGCTACAAGGGAAGAGGGGAAGTAACTGCCTACGTTCTGAAGGGACATGGCACATAAAAAAATAAAATATAGCTCCTTTTATTAAAGCATTCTTTCTACTTACATGAATCTGTCATGTCATTGCTTGATGTCTGCTCACTGATTTTTGGAGTAGCAATACTGTTGCTGCTTATAGGTTGTGTTACAAAACTGAGATGTGTGATGTTCTTCAATGTTGACTCGCTACAATTAATCTTTGGATCTATTTCATTTGAAATGGGAGCTACATTATTTTTCTTCAGCTTCTTTTTCTTCTTTTTAACTTTATTTGTTTCAGCTGCACCATCTGAAAGAAAAAAAAAATTTTTTTTGCAATTTTACAGCATCAGGTATTAAAAGCTATTAAAAAGAGGAAACTGGACAAAAGAATATACAGCCACAGTAAATGACAATACGGAAAGAAAAAAAATGATTTTTAGAAACAGCTGACCAGTTTTCATTTCTCTCTCAGAGTTCAATCAAGGAATTAAAATACTGTGCATAAAAACTAAATTCCTTGATTGAGCTCTAATGAGATAGTGGAATGAAAATGTGGTTTCTAATTTTTTTATATTTTCATATTGCAATTCACTGTGTCTGTATTTTCTTCTATCTAAATTCCATTTTTTTTTAAATGTATCTGTTTTTATAGTACTGATTAAATTTTCTATCTTCAATAGAATCTTTAAGCATCAAGTATTATTAAATTTTCATTCATTTAATAATGACTACTACATTATTAAAAAAAACTTACAATAGTGAATGATAGAATAAAAACCACAATTTACCAATAGTATCTAATGGTTGCAAGAAGTTTTTTTTTAAAAATGAATTTTTTTTCATTGACATCTGACTAGGATCCTCAATCATGGGTAATAAAGGTTTGTTGTTTGGAGAATTATTTTCAAGTAAAGCTGGTAAAGGTCTGTTCAGCTGTTGAACAAATCCCTTAGAGTCTGAGTCCTTTGGGGGTAATAAATTGTCTTGTTGGGGGCTAACAATGTTAATTTTTGATTTTGATGAAAATCCTGCTGAATTATTTTGGTTTGTATTAGCCGGCAGAAGTTGATCTGTATCTCTGATAGGGCTTGAATAAAAATGAGAAGATGAAGATGATGGCATCATTTCTACAGCTGGAAGATTGGAAGGCACTTCTTCTATGACAGTTTCTTTCTGTTAATAAAAAAAAATAATCACATGAGAAAAGAAGAATTTGTGTACGTAAATAAAAAAGTAAAATTTACAAATTTCTTTCATGTAACATACAAGTTAAATCTACAGTGCTTTTAAGATTTACTTTTACCCAGTTTAAGCTGTTCCAATTCTAATACATATGAACCTTCAAAGGAAAGGAGGAAGGAAAGCGTTTTCGTTTCATTCTATATCTTATTCTACTTATTTCTCTTTTACTTATCCTTTTGTTATTTATTTATTATTTATTTTCACTTTGGCGTAAATGTTGAATTTTTTTTTTCGCATAACCATTATTTTCCCGTTACCCCAGCATCTAGAATAATTGCATAATATCGTAACATTCAAAAGAGGTCTATTTTCGATAGTCTTGTCCCCTATTTTCGTCCTTTATTACTGATTAGAAATCTCCTGTTTTGACTTCCAATTGACTTTATTTTCCGTTTTCCTTTCTCTCCAACTATTTGACTTTATGCAAAGCATGATAGATCACGAATTTCTCACCAATAGTATTTTTCTTTTACCCCCCTTCTCGTTTCGTTTTGTTTCTAACGAAAAACAAATTTAATATTATAATCAACAGATTAGGGTTTTTACTCGTCAACATGTTTTAAACGTTTCATTAAGATATTTAATAGCATTCTCGGTTTAATTCGTTGTATATATTCATTTTAATCACATAAACGAGATTATTAGTTTTTTTTTTTACTCGTTAACATGTTTTAAATGTTTTATTTATGATATTTTTAAGCCCACTCGGTTTAACTCGCTGTAACTTATTAATTGTTTATTTTTATTCGTCAACATGTTTTAGATGTTTTATTATGTAATTTATAAGACCTCTCGGTTTTAACTCGCTGTAATTTATTTATTTTATTTTTTTTAATCGTAATCAGTTTTAAAACGTTTTATTTTATTTACAAGCACTCTTGGCTTAATTCGCTGTAATTTATTAATTAATTTCAATGGCCGTATTTTTCTTATCTCTGTATATAGTAATTATTAGCTGGTGAAATGGAACTTGATGGGAAGTGGGTAAAAACGGAAAACATAATTACCTTCTAAGTATCCGATGAAGGAGTGTCCACCAAAAAAGTGAAAAAAAGTAAAAAAAATTACCCGTAAACAGCTTAAATAGAATTCGCACCGTTGCGATTAACTGTTGGTCAATCTCCAATCAAATGTGTGATAACGGGGTATATTTATAGAAGTCAGTGTCTACAAGCATTTTTTAGAGGGCGTATCAGAGTCTGATCAGCTCTGATGGGGTCGACTTGGTAAGGTCAGTATGATGTTTGAAAGACCCGAAACTGTCCAATGATCCTTTTCTAGAACATCACTGATGATGCCCTCTAGCGCTAAAAGAGCGTATATTCAAAGAAAAAGTAATTTGATAGCTTTGTATATATATAAATAAATTATACATTTATTTACCCAAAATCCGATGTATTCCCTTCCCTTGAATTCACATTTGCTGAGGCAAAGAAGAAATTAACCTCTACAGCAGTAACAACAACTAGTTCTATCTTCCAGGTTACCCATTCTTTGTTTCCGCAACAAGTGGTAAACCCAATGTTTCGAGCAACAGCAGCTTCTTCAGGAAATACATGGAAACTGCAGCAAGATAATGAGTTCACATGAAGATACTTTGTAATCACCTTTGGGGATTAATTCCTCAGTCCTCTACCTACTCCAGGCCATTTTCGCTGCCAGAGGGATACGATTGCAGAAAATAAAATTTGCCAGTGTTGTCTAAGCCTTGCCTCCTGATGTCAACGAAGTTGCCAACTTATTGGAAGATGTTTCTGACACCAACCCTTACAATGTCCTTAAAGCAGCCATCATTAAAAGGACAGATCACTCAGATAAACAAATGTTGAGGGAACTATTTAACAACATAAGTATCAATGATAAAACACCCTTGTAACTCCTCAGGCACATGAAAAATCACCTGAGAGGAAATGATATATCAGACTCCATCCTGCATAGTCTATGGTTGGACAAATTGCCAAACATGATGGTACAAATACTAACGCTTATGATAGACAATACAGCACTGAACAAATTTGCAGATATTGCCGACAAAATTTTTGTCATTCGATAAAAGACTTAACGCACTGACGTCCAAACAAGAAAACAACAGCAGTGCTAAACACACACATATTGATACGGCACTCACAGATTTGCAAAAGCAAATGCAACAACTGCAACTGCTTCTAAACCAACAACAGAAGTACATCACATGAACTTGATCCTACCCCATGCCAAAGAAGTCTTGGTCGTGGACAAACGAATGGAATTTGCAGTTATCACCACTCGTTTGGTAACAATGCAAGGAAATGCACTCAACCTTGCCATCATAATACCAACAGACACCAGAGAAATGAGCAAACCGGCGAGTGAATGCAACTATCCCAACCAGTACACACAAAGAAAGTCACTTATTTTATGTAATCGAACAAAATAATGGCTACAAATTCCTAGTGGATACTGGAGGAGCAGTCAGTGTCATTCCACTAACACCTGGACACAAACCCAATCCTAGCCTCCGCAGACTACAAGCTTTAAATGGCATGCGCATTGATACCTACAGCACCAAAGATCTAACGCTAAACATTGGTATGCGCTGAGATTTTACGTGGACCTTTCTACAAGTTGACATGCAAACATCCATTTTTGGGGTGAATATTTTGGCCCATTTCAACTTGGGGAACAGATGACACAGACTCCTTTTGGACACCAAAACCAATATCTGTATTACAGGAAATTGCATACAGTACAATTCTACTGGCATCAGTGTAACAACTTACCATAGTAAAGAATTCCTTGATATCTTGGGCAAATTTAAGAAAATTACAACACCGTTCAAAAATATGGATAACATCAAGCATGACACAAAACTCAGAATAAAGACTACTGGACAGTATTTTTATGTCCATGACTGCTACATCGACATAAATATCAATTCACCAAAAATGAATTTAACAAAATGCTATGAGAAGAGAAAATTTGCCCATCTCAAAGCCCTTATACATCACCCATACATCTCGTTCCAACAGTGGATAATAAAGGATTTTGATCTTGTGTGGACTTTCGTAAATTAAATGCATCCATGGTGCCTGATCGTTATCCTGTTCTGCATATACACAATTTTGCACTTGGGTTACGTGGATCACGTATATTCTCCAAGATCCCAGGAGCAGAAGAAGATATTCCCAAAACAGCGGTGACAACTCTGTTCAGGCTATACGAGTTTGTCCGAATGCCATTTGGTATTATGAATGCAGCCCAAACATTTCAAAAATTAATTGACCCAGTCCTGAAAGAATTACCATTTCTATACACTTACATCGATGATATCCTCATCGCTAGCCAAAGTACTGCCGAACACAAAGACTACTTACAACAAGTCTTTCAGAGACTATCTCAATTTGACTTAAAATAAACTTAGATAAGTGCACTTTTGGCACCACTCAAGTTAAATTTCTTGGACACATGATAGACCAATATGTGATTTCACCCTTACTTGGAAAAATGGAAGCCATTGAAAATTTTCTTGTACCTACTTTCATCCAACAGTTAAGAAGACTAAATGGACTGATAAATTATCACTGCTTCACACCTAATCTATCAACTATACTTTTACCTTTGACTAATCAGATAGAAAAAATAACAAGAACATTACTCAACAACAGGATACACTTCATGCCTTCAATACAGCCAAATCAGCACTTACAAACTTTACTAAACTCTCACATATCAGCAATGACGAAAATGCACTCATCTTCCCCACCACGGACGCATCTAACACAGCAATAGAAGCTGTAATTGAACAGGAAATTCATTTGGTAAGAAAACCTATTTCCTTCTTCTCAGCAAAATTAACTAAGACACAAACAAATTATAGCCCCTTTTATAGAGAATTGTTGGCTATATATTTAGCAATTAAACAGTTTAGAGACATACTCTAAAGGTAGAAACTTTGTGATATACACAGATTAGAAGCTCCTCTCATGCCCTGAACTGTAGTGCAGACAAATACAACACTAGGGAAATTAGATATATAGATTTTATTTCTCAGTACATAACAGACATTCATTATATTAAGGAACAACAAAATATTGTGGCTGATGCACTGTCACGCACAGATAACAGCGATTACCAACAATACATTAAGTCATGATTTAATTTCTGATGAACAGAAATCTGACTCTACTCTAACAGAAGTAACTCTTTAACATTGAAACAATATCCAGTTCCTTTTGGTAATAAAACACTTTATTGTGACACTACATTAACCAACCCTAGACCATACATTCCACCAACACTGTGGAAACAAATAAACACCTTCACAATCTTTCCCACCCAAGCAAGAAATCCACTGTAAAAATTAAGTGAACATTTTGTTTGGCCAAACATGGCATCAGACATTAGAAATGGGACATCAACATGCCTAAAATGCCAGAACAACAAAATACAGTGTCATACCAAAACACCAATAGGCACTTTGAGCAACTCAGATGCAAGATTTAAACACATCCACTTTGACATCAAGGGTCCCCTATCAAACTTTCAAGGTTATTCCTAAATCATAACTATTGTTGACAGATTTTCACGTTGGCCTGCTACAATTGCACTGAAAGATACATCAACAACTTCAATCGCAAACGCTGTTTTAAAAGATTGGATTTCTATTTTCAGAGTACCCAATGTTATCACCAATGATCATGGTACACACTTTCGATCATCACTTTTTTAGGAATTCAGCAACGTGCTGGGAGCAAGGCACATTAAGACCACAGCATACCACCCATGTGTTAATAGATTAGTGGAAAGATTCTACAGGCAACTCAAGATATCGTTAACCATGAAGGAAAACTCAATCAATTGGATTGATAATTTATCCCTTACACTTCTCTCTATAAGGAACATTATTAAAGAAGACCATGGCTGCACACCAGCTGAAATAGTCTTTGGAACACCCTTATCATCACCAGGACAATTTTTTGAAAACGACAAACTCTAATCTGACATCATATTTCATACAAGAATTAAAAAGGATGTTGCAATTAGAATTCACACCTACTCAAAATTCAAACAAACACACATACACACCAACAAATCTGTATGCCTGTAAATAAAAGTTTTCATACCAGAAGATGCAGTAAAAAAAAAACAAACCCTATCAGCAAATTATCAAGGTCCATACAAAGTTTTACACAGAGTAGAAAAATACTTCCTAATACAAAAGGGTAATCAGTCAGATACAGTTGTTATTGATAGACTGATAGCTATCTTAGAAAAAGAAAATCAACCACACACACACACACACACTCTCCTTATGTACAAGAAATACCCAAATCTAAAAATACATCACAATCCAACAATACAACAACAATTCAAACCAGATCAGGCAGAAAAGTCACATTTCCTAAAAACTTCAAGACATACATTTATTACTAATTGATACGGCTTTTACCCAATCAATTTTCTAGAAGTGGTGAGGGGGTTGGCTTGTCGTGTCTCTTACACTTTTCTATATAAACCAGATGTTGACTCCTTGACGACCCAAAGCAAAATGGAAAAACGTGTCTCTGCACATCATGGCTCAATACATGTTTTCAGTATTAAACAAAATAAAATGAACTGCATATTGGCCAGTAAAAATGACTCCCACTAAAAGACCCAAACTGTGATTTGGAGCCGATATGACTGATACAAATTCCCTGATTCAACGCTGCAAAGGTCAGAGACCCAGCTGAGATGTTGACACACACAGAGGCTGGCTAAGACTGCAGCAGGCACACTGAACGCGATGCTATCAATTTCATCAGAACATCAGCCAAAAAATTCTTTCTCCTTCTGTTTTCCTCCCACTCTGTTGCTTTTACAACAGCAATGGGTAGTAGTTTGGCTGCTTTGTATATACATTTATTTACCAAAAATCTGATGTATTCCTTGAATTCATGTTTGCTGAAGCGAAGAAGAAATTAACCTCTACAGCAGTAACAACAGCCACAAGTTCTGTCTTCCAGGTTACTCATTTTTCACTTCCGCAACAATGGCTGCCTTGGTTAATTTTTTCCCTTATTCTTTGTGTTTTTATAAATATAACAATAGACATTTTTTTAACATCATTTTCAAAATCATGGAGACAACAACAGGAAACTACTTCTTTTTTTTCAGAAAATAAACTCACCTTGGAAAAGTAATCTGAATTGAGTTGTTTAAAAGGATTTCCATTACCATTTTTCAGGTCCTCATCTTCCTTTATTTTTTCATCTTCTGCAGCCTGACCACTTGCAATCCTTTGCCTTTCTCTGTTAAAAAAAACAAAACAAAAAAAAAAACAAAAACAAACAATTCATAAAATAAAAATTGAAAACCAAAATACAACTTTTTCTAGAAATTGACTTGATTTTGAAAAAAGAATTCTGACCTCATCTTTTGTGTACACTTTTGTATACGTGTCATTGGAGAAGGCATGAATCCATCTCCTCTCTTCCAGTTATGAGTAAAATAGCAGGTTTAGACTGGACTCTCTTTGGCTAGTAGCAGTCTAGAAGAACTCTTAATTCAAAATCATGGAGACAACAACAGGAAACTACTCCACTACTAAGATGGCATAGCAATTCACAAATAAACTAAAGAATCTGTAGAGAGTCATGATCACCTATATTTTAAAGGGACATGGCATTTAAATAAATAATGCAAGAAATAACTTTTGTCAATGTATATTATTAGAAAGCTAAGCAGAACATGTTATAACAAATTATTATATTCAGATTACACTTGCGATAATACTAAATTGTAAAAAGGATTGCAAATGTTAAATAACAGTTTAGCAAACTATTATTTTTATGGGGAAGTATATCTCTGCTCTGACTTCCTGAGGTTGACCATAGTGATCGGATACAAGACAAAGAAAGTAGATTTTGATTGCCCGAACAAGTGTGGGAATGATAGAGAAAGGTTTTGCAGAGAGATGGTTCTTACATGTCAAGCAATGTAGATGTGTTGACTTTCATGTTTGGAAACTACTCCCCAGTGGAGGGTGAGAGCGACTGCACTGGTTACATCAATGTTAAAAAAACTAGCTAAGTTAAAATTCCCTGTGTTGAAGTTCTTTTATTTCTGGACTCAAAACAACTAGCAACTGCCAGCTACGAGAGAAGACAACATATGAGTAAATTGACACAATGACCAAGATGTCCCAGCATGAGGGGGCTATGCAACATGGCCATATTTCCACAAGACGAAAACTCATTGTCTGATAGACTGCCATATCAGAGGCATAAGGAAATTCAGTCAGTAAATTAGGAGAGAAAATGCAGAAGAACCATTGACAATGTTCAAAAAATCTTTTCTGTCAGTTTAAACTTGAAGAATTTTAAAGCACTATTGGTATTTGTTTTCCTTTTTTAAAACAAATTTAAGTTTTGTGGTCATTACTGTTCTGTTTCTGATGAGTTGAAAATTACATTATTTCACAAAAATTTCCAAATAAGATACATATATTACAAAATGTATTGATGATATTACAGGGAAAAGGGCTATTTTGTTGAATTCCTCATCCCAAAATTAGTAAAGTTTCAAAGCTTCAAGCACGTAACTCCAATAGATAAATTTTATGGCAAGTTCAGTATGCTATACATTTAACCTGATTTTTTTTTTTTTTTGCCTTACTGTCAAATTACGATTCTGGCTGTTTTTGTGATATAAAGTTTTTTTTATTGAGGTACCTGATAAGTAGCAACAAGTCATTGCAAATAAAAGTGAATATATAATTAAATAAAATGTAATTGTTCTTTATTTTTCAAATAAAGCTGATAAAGAAAAACAAATTATGAATCAACCTAATATATCTATCAAAAATATTAAAAGAAAAAAAAACAATGCTCAAAATACCTAAAATATGATAAATGAAGCTGTTGATAGTTGTTCATTTAGTAATACATTTTGCTTCTCTTGAATACATTCTAATCAAAAAATGTGATGCTTCAAGTTTATCTGATGTAAGAAAATTAGGAATCTACACATATTAGGTTGATGCAAAAACAATGTTGTTTTTTTGAACGTCAAAAAACGACATTATTTTTGCACCAACCTAATAAATATACAGACAATAAGAACCTTAGAACTTAACATTTGAAAAGCTGTTGAGTTTAACTCAACTAACATAATAGCCTGTTACATTAGTAACCTGAAATTAGACTCTAACAAATTTCATAATATCTTCTTAAACTGGATAGCTTTCAAACATTTGCAAAATTTAATTGGTATTCATTATGCATTTACTGAAACAAGTGAAAACATCTTTCCTCTGATTTTGTATATAGGCAATGAGAACTCAGAAGTATGTAAATTCTAAACATTGATAAGTCTGGATGGTTCATTTTTCCTTGTTAAGACAAGAACTGAAATTCAAATAAGTAACATATAAAATGCTTAGATAAGAGGGAAGTTTATTTGAAGTTTTTCTTTCTACTCATGCAAAAAAAATTGATTTAAAAGTTTAAACTTCTGTATAGCAAAGAAATGAAGTTTCTCACAACAGTAATGAGACAATGTAAGAGTGTTTAGTATAAGAGGAATTTAAGAAAGATTTAATCAGTAGGTATGCTAAAATATGAAGTAGTGTTGAGAAGACATGAAGTAGTATCAAGATGTACTAGCATAGTACCTACCTAAAATGATGAGATTATTTGTATTAATCAGTACTTTTTCCAAAGATAAGACCATCTACTCAATAATTTGGATCAAATTATTGCTTCCCAGCACCCAGGGTTAAGATCAGTGTAATATCTATGAGCTCTGAAAGGTGTGTGTGTGTATATATATATATATATATATGTAAAAAATTAAAGTGTTAGAAAGGTCTGTACAAAACTTACTGTATAGAGAAAATATTTATTAAAATTGTTTTACTAACATGTTGGTTTTCCAGTTAAGTAAAATGATTGAAAACTCATAAGTAAAACAATTTTAATAATTCTCTGTAAACTTACATGTATTACAAACATTGCATATAAATATATGAAAACATTGGGTGCTTTTCCAAATCTTATTTTCTCTCTCTCTCTCTCTCTCTAAAAGCATTAACTGTTTGTCAATTTCTTTTCCACATTACAACAGAATTGTTAAAAGCAAGGAAGAAAAGAGAAAAAGGAGGAGGAAAGGCAAAGAAAGAAAGAAAGCTAAACAGAAAAGAAAAACAAATCAAAGGAGAATGAATGAAGACAAAAAGGCAGATCTGCTATTTATATATCTCTTAACCTTTTGATGTTTCAAAATTTGAAGGTTTATTTAATATTTTTTTTGCAGCATGATGCATACTTAAGAATATAGATATGCTATAATAAAACAACAATTAATGCAGATTCGTTTTCTATCAAAATCTTGACTATATACACACTTTAACATAAAATTTTATACTCTTTTGTTAGATTCCTGATTTCCATCAGATATATTAGCTATTTGATATATATATATACATATATACTTGTATTTATGCCTGTACCCATAAACAGTGAAATTTTATTAGCCAACAAAAAAAAATGTTTTTAAATTCAAGTAACCAATTTACTAGTGTCTAGATTTCATAATAACTGATAATTGGAAATATTATGACAACCTATTGTTTAGTTGTTTGTTTAGGATAATTTGTAGTTTAATTTCCATTAGAAATGTTGAATTTGTCAAGTAATGGATGAAGATTTTTCCCTCATCATACAAACCTTTCTTCTCGAATCTGACGAACTCTTTCTTTCCTCTCTGCAGCTTCTTTATCCTTCTGAATTCTTAGATCTTTCATCTCCTTGTCAATACGGTCAGTAAACATATCATAATTTTGGTCTATCAGGTTACATAACCACATAATGCCATTGACAATGTTTGGGTCCATTTTCTTTCCTGTACCAGATGATGCTGAGCATGATTCCTACATAAAAATAAATACAATATTTTATGCAATTCAAATTACAAATATACACAAATACAGATCATTTAAATTAACTCTTTACAGTGTTAAAAATTTTGAAATTACTTGTAATAAATAAACTGAATGAGTGCATTTCTTAAAGAAAATGTAACAATAGCTATTTAATTGCATATGTGCTCCATGATGCAAAAAGGTTTCATTTCTTTCTAAACTGCTGATTCCTTTTGTTCTTTTTATTAAGCCTTTAGATCCTAATGGTAATTATATAGGTGTGTCTGGTATTTGAACTCATGAATTTAGAAGGCCATAAATGGAAAATGACAAAACATAATGTCATATGACATGTGCCAAATTTAAATATTCTCATTTCTCTTTCAAATGTATCAAGAGCAATATGACAACTTCCAATCTAATACAAGAAATGAAAAATTACAGTTCTTGTGTTAATAGCTTTCAACAAACAGTGATTCAGAGAAGGCCATCTTCTTGAAAGTAGCCAGATAAACTGGAAAGATGACAGGTCACTCTATATGGATTTCACAAAGGTACACACAGTGATGGAAATAAAGTTTGCTATCTTTGATGGCCGTGGGAGTTGTGAGCAATGAGACTTATGCCATGCCTACATCAACATTCTGAAAATGGTGGTGGCCATACTTGTTCCACTAGCACTCAGCACTTTCCCCCACATGGCCAGGAAGTGACTGGCTGAGAATTTTCATGATCATGGTCAACCCAAACATGCTGTATCCTAACATTCCTGATTTGAATCTCCTAGACTCCTACATCAAAAACATTATTATAAATGTTTTTGGTTGGTTTGGTTGATTCTGTTTAGTGGCATATCAACATTTCTATGGGTTATTTATTGCCAAAATTTAAATATTTTGAGCGCAATTGTATACCTTCAACTACACATAAAATGTATTATTGGTACTTCTACTATAAATAGGTATTATTGGTAATTTTATTTTTTTTTTATTTAAAAATGTATTGCTGGTATTTTTAATATAAAAATGTATTTTTATATTTTCACAGGGTTTCATTTTTGTTTGGGGGTTCACTATTTGCCCATAGCTGGGACCCTAACAGGTGCTACCACCCCAAGTCAGAGTGGAACTGGGAACAGCAATTAAGAGGTGGTTCTATGCTCCTGAAAATTTCCACTCTCCCAATTAGAGGCCTTGCTGAAAGATGTAGTTTATTGTTATACCCAGGACTAACAAATGCTTTTGAAAATATACATATTTTTTACTATTGAATATCTTTGTTTTTCTTTATATTATAATTTGTTCTCAGTTACTGGGTGCATATATCCCAAGAAAATATCTGTTAATAATCCTAGTTGTTTGCTAAACAATACTGTTGGGACATTTTTGTTTAAAAACACATCAGATATAAACAATAATATTCATTGAAGGTCCTTATCTCATCAAAATAAAAAGATACAATAAATATTGTCTGTTCAAAAGTCAAATAAAAAGGGTTTATGTAATGTGAAGTTGTATACTCTGCTGGGACATTGAAAATACACAAAGTAAATGAATAAAAATATATTTCAAAATTCCCTCTCCAACTACAATTTCATCAAGTCTAAAAATAAACACATAAAAGCAAACTTGGTGCCACTTCACATGGATGTGGTAGCAAACACACTACTGGATTTTTCAACCAATGGGAAGACAACAAAAAATATTAAATTTTTGAGTCTATATTTGGTCTATAAAAGAAAAACCAGTCAAGGAGTATGCACAGAAACACACACGGTGCATTCATTTACACGCACCATGCTGAAGAAAGCTTTTTCATTTGGGTACACAAGCCATACCGAGAAATCAACACAAGTGAGATAAAATACTTGCACAAACACCCAACTATATCAACTCAGAAAAATAAACTCCCTAAGTGAGTTAATTATATCCATAAACATACATGCACACTCACACACCTACATACATATCTTCACACCTAAATATATTACACACACTCACACATCTGTACATACACAAACATTTATTTTCTAGCTTTTTTACAAACTCTCTCTAACTCTTCTAAGAACACCTTTACTCTTACTTACTTGTTAGCATTGTTGTTATTAAATTGTATTCAAATATTGTTTTGGGCATGTGAAAGATCATTCATTCTTTCTTTCATTTGCTGTTGGCCAAAACAGCACCTTCCCTTTTCCCTTAAAGGGATCAGTAGTAAACATTTTTATTTGACAGTCAAAACAAGGTTAACAAAACAACAATCAGCAGCTGCCTGTGCAACAACTCTCACACAATTCCAGTAACCAAAAACATTTCATTGTGGAAGTAACATCAATAAACTTCACTGAAATATTTTTCTTTTCAAAGTGTATTTTTAGCTGAAATTTTATGTAATTTTTTTGAAACAAAAGTTATGAATGAATAATCAGTGGGAGGCAATTGTGTATTTAATTTGTCACAATCATTTAAAACTTGCAACTATGAAATGACAATTTATAATTCTTGACAAATTGTAGAAATATTTTTTAAGCAATCATTGAATTCATCATTAATATTATTTGTGAAAAACAATAACTTCAATCAACATATGAAAAAGTGGCACATAAATAACAAAATTATTATATTTGACAAACTACCTAAAAAATTTAGTTAATTAGCTATGAAAATTGATTTTTTTTTTAAATGTTATTAAATGTCTGACCAAGAGTGATCTCTTCAAAAGTTGGTAATTGAATATTGGTTAGTACCTTTTTGTTTAAAGTGAAATACTTCATTTTCTATAATTTGATCCACTTCTCTAAATTTTTGTCAAAATTGTATTTTCCCATGAAAATTTTCATGCAAAAATAGTCTAATAATAATAATAATAGATAAATTTTAAAAATATAATTTTCATTTTTCATAACAGATTTAATCATGAAAATTAATGAAGCATTAAGTTTGGTTAAGACAATTTCTTGTTAAGGATTTTAATTCTATAAAAACAAAGAAAAAATCTGCAACAGTAATTTTAAAATATTTATTCTAATTATTCATATATATTACAGAAAGAAGTGTGCATTTTAACAGTTGGTGATGAAAATTTATGTTGGGTTACCAATTTTCATTTGATCAAAGAACCATTTACTCAGAATGGAGGAAACAGAAAGAATATGAAAACACTCATATAATAACAAAAAATGTCTGTTACCACTCGACATGGGCAGCGGTTTTTGTTGACCAATGCCTCAAGAGTGAGAACTTCACAGATGTCCAGTTCATCCAAAGCTCCAACTTGGTCCTGCTTATTGGCAAGTCTGAAATAAGAATGGAGAGATCACTGGCAACAGTTTTTGTTTTTTTTGTATTAACATTGGTAGGTATTATTCTGGGCATTGTTTTTGTCAACTCACAAACAAGGAAAGGATAATTAAACATAAAAATATAAAAGCTGAACATCTTTAAAAGTTAGGGAAAAGACAATACAAAAATTTTAAATCCCAAATAATGTTTTTACAGACTCAAACTGGTTAGGAAGAAAATATGTAACTAAAGATTACATTGGGGAAAAAAAAAAAGAAAAAAAAGAGCAACAGATCTGAAGACATGAGGTATAGGAAAGCATTGTTACTTTTTAATAAACTTGTTCTTAACTAAGGGAAAATTCCTTAATATGATCTAGTCATATGACATGAAAGCTATATAATAGTTTAGTTTTGAAACTATCAATATATTTTTTTAATTATAAATGCTTGCTCACACAATGAGCTTAAAGAAGGAAAATGAATTATTTTAAATGTTAGCAAATGCGTTGATAATATAACATTTGTAGGATCATTTGATTCGTAGCAAACAAATTATATATGTAACTAGCAGGCTTCGTCCACTTGCTATCGCTTCATAAGTAAAATAAAAATATATTCACTACTTGAAATCTTTGAAACAAAAATTTTAAAATGAACATTTCATTCATAAATTGGCTTGTTATAGATAAGGAAAGTTTTACAAAGAGATGCCAACTTGTTGAAGGCCAAGTAAAATGCAAATTTCAAAATGTATCTGCACTATATAAGACAATATTCCTACAGAACTATTTTTGATATGAAAATCAAAACAATCCTCAAATAAAAGAACAGTAATGAAAGACAATGAAATAAACTTTTTTTAAATCAATATGCAAATTAGTTAAACCTGAAGAGTGATATTGCCTAGAAGTAGATAATATATAATACAGAAATTGAGCTTTTAGCGTATAAAGTTCACACACTATCATCTCTCAGTTGCAGATCTGTCAGAGGACAGAGGCGCAACCAAGGAAAATCAGACTGTGAGGTGCCCAGCCTTGGGGAGCAGATTGCCTGAGGCTGCACCCTCTCATTGCACCAAAGACAATGATTGGTGCTTACACTGAGGCCTTTGCCACCAATGGTTGTGGGGGCTCAGGGAATTTTTTTTGTCCGTAGCATGAGTGTACACACTAAGGTTCCCTACATTAAACTAACCTTGTGTCACAACCTGACTGTGAGAGGTCAAGTAAATACCTACTATAAAGTAGAGCTGGGACTTTTTAATCTCAGAATTTGTAAAAGAATTGAGCTCCAATTTCACATTTATTCATATAGATTCCATAATGTGGGGTTTAATTAGCTATTATGTTTCTCTAACTCTTCAAATGTTGAGCGTGTAACTAATTCTAATTTCTACTTTCCCATCTTAGCACTATATTGATTTTATTTTATAAACTGTCCCCTGTTCTATCACCCATGAAATAAAAACAATTGTTTGTGTGGAAAATAAGGATCTACATATATCAAATCATCTTTAAGTGGCAGCAGAAGAATTAACATTGAACTTTTAAAAGGTAAGCTTAAACATTAATACTTGAATGCAGCAATCAATTTTGAGTAGTTTATTGATGTCTATTGAATCTACTCCACCCTAGCTATTGTGATGATGGCCAAACCAAGAGACCTCCACAGGAGCTAGCTTAAATGCTACCCAATAGCTTCAAATTTTAAGCTAGCTGCAATTTTGGATACAAAAGGAAAATAAGAGTTACTCCCCTTAAACCATGAAAGCAATGATAATGACTAGTATATATTAATATATATTTTAACCTCACATAATATGGCAACCCTGAATCTGAGCTTAATGAAAATTATTCCCTGCACTTAACTTTTCTAGGGCTTTTGAATGAGCTATGAATCATTGAAATCAGACCAGTAAGAGCAGAGGAGTTACTTGGACACACACACACACACACACAAACACACTCTACTTTATATATACAATATAGAATTTAGGTACTATAAATAACTGAACAAAATCTTACAAAGATGATACATCAAAGGTTTTGTGCTTTCATTTGACTTCATATATTTAACCTTCTAATCATACTGAATGGAATACAAAACAATGACTTACAGTAACAAGGGTTTTCCAGTCATGGATGGATGCTCAAGAAGCCTGCCAAGAACTTGCTTTGTTTCTTCCATTCTATTATTCATACTAGAATCAACAACAAAGATTATTCCATGGACTTCAGCAAGGTAATTCTTCCAAATGTCTCTGATCTTCTTCCCTCCACCCAAATCAAATAATGTGATTTCATATTTGCCTAATTTGATTTCATCTTTGTCAAAGCCAATGGTAGCACTTGTGTCTGCATGGTCAATCTCTGCAAGTATAAAACAATTTAAGAAGCCAGCTTTAAATTACAGGTTTTTATAATCACACACATACATGTTTGTTTGTGATTGTAAAACCTTGTAGTTCACAGCTTGTGTGTGTGTGTCTGTGTCTGTGTGTGAGTATATGCACACACATGGAGTAATGGATAATGGCTTGGATTGAAGAATTGGGGAGCCGAGTTCAAATCCCAGTCATGTTTATTACATTCACTTATGCGCAAATACCCTTGGGAAAGGTATGAATCCACCTATTCTTCCCTCAGCTATGGATAAATAACAGGAGAGACTGAGCCTTATAAGCTTGAGTGGAGACCAATGTAGATGAAAGATAAATCAGAATTTAAAAAAACAACAAAAAAAAACAACAAGGAGGGTCATTTGGGGACCTTGTGGCACACTATGTATACCAGTTGTCTGTATTCAACTCTTCCAAAAAGAGTGGTTGGTTCTGCACAAGCCTTCTTCGCTATAATCATATCATATATATGGATAGTACTGGCTGTTCGGTTCTAAGAACTGAGTTGCTGTAGCCTCATATGTCCAGTACATATATCTATCAAACAAATATGGCAAGGTTATCAATACAGTACAGTGCTCAATGAACAAAAAAAAAATAAACCAATGAACAGAGCAATATATAGACATTAAAGGTACTTATCTACCTGTCTCTCCTGATGATTGTGTTACCATATCGAATATTTGTGCAGCTGAAACTTTTGGTTGTATCAAGACGGTAGATAAGTATCTTATATATTTAAAAAAATTAGGAGGTCAGCCAATCACACTACCTTGGTTTCAACCTTTTGGTATCTTCAGGTGATCAGGGCTTAATAATTTCCTAACACCTTATTATTTAAAAATAAACAAATGCACAACATGAAGTGTAATAGAAGGGGAGGAGAAAACAATGGTATTAAGATTGTATCAGAAGTGGGGTGTATATGAAATGTACATATTTTCACCATGGTTCATACAAACTCAAAAGGAATTTTTTTGTGTGTATTGATCACGTCATTATTTCTGATCTTTCATTCAGGAGGTTTTTCTGGTCTGGAAATGTTATTATTGTTAACTTTTCTTCCTGGCAAAGATTGCAGATACCACTATGGCTGCTGTAATTTTGGCTTTTTAAAATATTTCCCAGTTTACAATTGGATCTTTGTTATTTTTTTTTCTTTTAATTTCCACACATGGCTAGCTAGTCTGGTAGAATTCCTAAGTCTTTCTAGCTTGAATGATGACTTGTGATTATACCACATCCTCTTAAAGCTGCCTTCAGTACATCCTATGTATATTTTGGTCTGGCCATTTGTATCTTTTACTTCCACGTTATATTAATTACGCCTTCAGTTTTGTAAACTCCATCTAGTGGACATTTGTTTTATTTCTGCAGTTACATGTTTCACAGTTAACAATATCTTTCTGCACGTTATTTTTTAAATTTCTGGTGTTTAGTCTTTTTATTGTGATTTCTAAATTACTAAGTGCAGCTGTAGCTTAATTTAACTGTGTTTTTATTAAAGATTTTGTGTAGTTCTGAATTTTTGGGAAAGTGTTTATTAAGTAATTTAAAAAATGTTTTCCCTATTTTATATTTGACCTCTAAGTTAAATGGGGGTCAAACCAAATGATATTTTTCTTTTCCTTGAATTATTCTTCATTTGTTGTTTTATTTGAGGTTTAAATTCCAGTTTAGTTTTAACCCTTCTTCTTTTAAAGCCTTCTCATACTCTTTATTTTTATCTTTGAAAATTATTTTACTAGAGAAATTTCTAAGCTGGACTCTATACCTTTAGGGATGTGCTTTATTATGGTTGGATTCAGCATTCACATATTTTAATTTTGTGTTGGGTTTCATGTATTGGAGACACTGCCAGTTTGTAGATTTAATATTAACAATAATAATATTTCTAGACCAGAAAAGTCTCCTGAATGAGATTTCAGAAATAATGACACGATGTATATACACAAAAAAGTTTCTTTTGACTTTGTATGAACCAGGATGAAAATATATACATTTAATATAATCCTCCACCTCCAATACAATCTCAATACCCTTGCTTTTTTTTCTCCCCTTCTATTATGCTACACATTGTGCATTTATTTAATTTTAAATTCAAAAGCTCTGCATGTTAAATTTTTATTTTATTTATAGGTGTATTGAGCACTTTTTAATACTACTCTTTCCTGGTTCAATTTAACTTTGACCAATAACTTTTTCATAATTATATATATATATATATATATATATATATATATATATATTTTATTTTAGGGAAGTGGATTAACGCCAACATATTTTTCATTTATTTGTTTAAACATTATTTTAAATGGATACTCATATTTGAGTAAATGCTCTGTTTTTATTTATTTATTAAACATTATATTTTATTTATTTACATCTACTGGCCTGAATATTCAAGAAATCTTGTTAGAAAAATATGCACCCTCTGAGTATACATTTAAAATAACATTTCTTTTTCTTTTATGTGCCATGCGTGATACGCACTTAGGTAATCATGTGTCTTCCAATACATGACTGATGAGGCAGTTTTTTTCCCAGCATTAGGTTGCCATTTCTTTCTACGGTAAACCAGTTCCCATCCAAGGCTATAGAACCTAGTCTGTCCTGCTATTTACCCATAACTGGTGGGAGAAGAAGTGGATTCATACCTTTCCCAAGGGTATTAGCGTGTAAGTGAATGTAATGGATCCAAGTGGAATTCAAACTTTTCGACTCCTCAATCTGAGCCACTATCCATTAGTCCACCATCAAATAAATTATATATATATATATATGTGTGTGTGTGTGTGTGTGTGAAAAAAAAATGTATGTGTGTGTGTGTGTGTGAAAAAAAAAATGTATGTGTGTGTGTGTGTGTGAAATATATATATATATATTATATATGCACAGTACTTAATGGAAAGCACTCAATATCAGTGATAGAGCTAACATATTTAGTTGGATTGATGTGAGTTTGTGACCATGGGTTTCATGCTATTTTATGCATTGTTGTCTGACGATCACAAATAGCGTGAAACCCAGGGTCACAAACTCACATCAATCCAACTATATATATATATATATATATATATATATATGCTATCAAGATGATTTTTTTTTTTAAGCTTATCACCCCAAGCAAGGCGGGAAGCCACTAGGACGCCAGGGGTTACAGAAGATTTGGAGCAAGATCAGATAGGAGTGATAGAGGAAAGGATAAGGAGAAGGATAGTGGATAGATCAAGGCAACTGTATTTGTTCCATCTCAGGTCAGCAGTCAACGTGAGACCAAGCAGCCGCTGAGAGGTGCTCTTGAGAAGTTGAGCGTCAGACATTCTAATAAAGGGCAGGGAAGGATCTCTGTGGTGATTAATAGAGAGCAGTTTTGTTTTTGAGGCATTAAAGTTGACCAGCCAATTCCTGCTCCAGTTCACAACCGATTGGAGGTCCTTTTCGAGACGCACGGCCAGGTTAGCAACACTAGATTTGTTTTTGAGGCAGGAGTAAATTGTGGTGTCATCCACATAGATGCCAACTTGGGAATTTATGGCATCATTATATAGATAAGGAATAGAGTGGGGCCTAGGATGGAGCCTTGAGGAACACCTGCATTTGTGGTATAGGAACTGGAGGAGAATCCGTTGAGAACGACCTTCAATTCACGGTTTGACAGGAATGATTGTATTAGGTTATACAATCGACCCGTAATGCCATAACCCTGGAGCTTGCGAAGAAGGCCAGCATGCCAAACCCTATCAAACGCTTTGGAGATGTGTAGGGCCACGGCACAAGCTTCCCCGTTATTTTGAAGAGCTTGGTAGACAGTTTCAGTGATGGCCATAAGCACATCAGCTGTAGATCGGACAAAGTGGAAGCCATATTGCTTGTCTGAGAGGAGATCATGGGATGTAAGGTGGTTAACCACTTCGGTATTGATTAGGGCTTCGAAGAATTTGCTGAAGAGGGGGTAGGAGTCTGATAAGACGGTAATTAGAAGGGTCAGAGGGGTCGCCAGAGTTCATGAAGACAGGAACAATTGAAGAGGACTTCCAGCAGTCAGGAAAACAACATTCCTTGAGGCAGTAATTATATAGTTTAGAGAGGGTGGGCGCCATTTCAGGCACACATTTCTTCAAGACAATGGCTGGTTGTTGGGGTCTAAATTGGAGATAATGCCCAATACCAAAGACGGGGTTATGTGTAACCCACTCAATAGGGCCTCAGTTCTAAGAGGGAAGTCGGGTATGGGTACACCGGAAGAGTTGAGCGTTGAGCTGAATGAAAATTTCCGAGCAAAGCATTCAGCCTTGTTGGCAGAGGAGGTCAGGACTTTAAACTGGTTGAACAAAGGAGGTATAGAGAGTTTGCAATTGTTCAATACGCTCTTGCAGTGACACCAATAATCTTTGGAGCCAAATTTGCGAGATGCAATACGTTCCTTCATTCGAGCAGCAAATAGTGACTTAGTATCGTTGCGGACACGCTTACACTCGTTACGGGTGGAGGCAAAGAGACGTCTATTGCAGTCCAACATGTCACTACGAAATAGGTGAAAGAAGTGGTTCCTATGGGCAATGGCAGCTGAGCAAGCAGCGGAGAACCAAGGGGAGGAGCGCGACTTGACCCTATATTTCCTTGAGGGGATGAAAGTGTTGATTCCAGCTTTAACCCAGGATGAGACCTCAGAAGCACATTCTTGGACGGGGAGCATAAAGACAACATCCCAGGGGACATTGCGGAGGAAATCACGGAACGAGTCCCAGTCAGCTCGTTGATAGTAGAATGAAGTTCTAGCTCTACATTAAAAAGTCAACATTGTACAAAATAAAAATCAGTAAATTTTATATTTTAAATAAGATTGTTTTTCCATAAACAAATGTTCAAATTGTTTGCTTAAATTATATATCAAATGAAATATCATTTAAGGATATATACAAATCCCTAAAAAAAATGTCAACTTAGCAGAGTATAGCAAATTAGAGA